TAAAAATGGAAAACCTCATGTACTGCTTGAAGTGCTACCGACTAGGAAGTTTTACCTTTACCACTGTCCTTCAGGGTCACCCCCAAGTGGGGCTGTAATGCTTTCACATGGGTACAAACATGCTATATAGAAACATCTTCAAATCTGGCTCAATTTTTTCTTCCTCAGTCAACTAATAAGGAATACCTTTGAGGCCATAGGTATAGATTGAGAGAGAGAGGAGGCATTGCAGTGGGAAATACTGTTGAAGGATTCTGAGCCACCTGTTCATGCAAATTACTTGTAACTTCTAGATCTGTACAAGCCTGGTCTTTTATATACCACTTCCACCTGATAGATTGCTGTTGTGCATACCCAGTCTATGGTTAGGTTGGTCATGCAACTTCATTCGTGATAGGAAGCTCTGGACATGTAGTCACCTGTATCTCATAGTTAGGCATTTACTCTCTGACAAGACCTAGTAGCAAACCAGAAGCTGCTTCTCAAAAGGAAAATGCTTATCTGTAAAGGAGGGCATGGATTTTCTCTTAAATCTGAGAGCTCTGCAGTATGATTCTCCTTTGGTAGCCTTCCAGAGGCTCCATACGGCATGCCTATTTACCACAGACACTTTGAGTATCATTGGCTCTGCTGGGTCATGGGGCCCAAGTGGAAAATCAGCTTGCCTTTTCTTGTTCTGGTCCCCACTGGAAGCTGGAATCCTTATAAGTGACTTGATAGATGGGTAGAAGCAGCTTATTCGAATGTGGTTTAAGTTGCTTCCAAAAAGGCCTACCAGGCATTTTGCTCCTTTTGTTTGTGGTAGGTGGTGTGGGGGTGCAGCCACTTGACTTTCACTTTGGAAAGAATATCTTGACACACTCCAGATCATTGGATCCCAGAGACTTCACTGAGGTGGCAGGTCCTTGAATTAGTGTGGGATTATCTGCCACTCTCTTGATTTACTTACGTCTTACTAAGGCATCTAAAGTACTTGTTGCTTCCTGCTCCCCAGATTCATTCAACATAATGTCACCAATGTAGTGGACCATTGAGATGTTTTGTGGAATATCAAGACGATCAGGATCTCTGTGGACTATATTATGACAAAGAACAGGAGAGTTGAAATAGCCCTGAGGCAAGGCTTTGAAGGTGTATGCAGATACAAGCCAGGTAAAAGCAAATTGCTTGTGGTTGTCCTTACAACTTGGTATGAAGAAAAAAGCATAAAACAGGGTGATGGCTGCATGCAAAATGCTAGGGGTTGTGCTAATTTGTTCTAGTAAAGATCTAGAAGAATGCATCTGGAAGAGTAGCTTCAATTAATCACTACCTGAATAAATTTACTGTCCAGAGTTATAATCTAAAATCCATCTGATTTCAGCACAGACCAAACAGGCGAGTTTTAATGATGATGGGACAGGTATTCTCTCTCCTGCTGTTTCAGGTCGTAGGTAGTGTCACTGGTTTTTGCAGTTTTCAGGCTTGCAGTTTTGCTTCTGGTTTATTGTCTTGGTAGAAAGAGGAATTTCCAGAGTTTTCATTTAGTTCTTCCTGTCATAATGACCTCACCCCATGGATCACAGAGCTAGAGTTGAGGACCCTACCAGTTGCCAAGTATTTCTATTCAAATTCAGGAATTGGGTGGGGTCCACAGACCACCTGGGTCCACTGTGATTCAAAATTGGACTAAAACTTCATCTACCACATGAGCATCATAAGTCCCCACTTTTCCTGGTGTACTAGAGCAGCCTGTTGTAGTCTCAAAAATGAGTGTTGATTCAGAGTTTGTGTCTAGTAATTCCCGAAAGTTTAGATATTTTCTTTTCTCAGTCACAGTTGTTCTAATAAGTGGCCATGAATGCTTAGAAGACAATTTACATTATATACGTGTGGCAGTTCTTCCTTAGTGGACCTGGCCTTCCCTTAATCAAGGGGTTCTGAGAACTGGTTGAGAATCTGTGACTCTCTGTTGTGGTGATTTAAGTCAGGATTTTTAGCCACCTGGTGTGGAGTTTTTTCTGTTATATAGATCAAACACTAATCTAGTAGTCTACTCATTTGTTTCATTTCTGGAGCTACCATGATAAATTAGCCACCAACAGAAATCCCCACAGGCCCAAACATTTTAATTATCAGTAGAACCTGCTGCCTTTTTGCTAAAAAGAATACACCCATCTTTGTTGGTTGTGATGCTTCTTGGTACCTGCTTCTCCAGGATTATCCCTGTTGAATCAGGGAGCCCATACTAATGGTGACACCACCCATTCCTCACCTACATAGGAGGACAGTCACAGAGCTTTTCAAGGATGCAGATGCTGCCCTTAATTAACGTACAGTATTTCTCCCTGCCTTTGTGAAGAAACTATTTTCTAGACTTCTTTGGGGGGGTGTAGGTAGTGGGTCGGTGTGCAGGCTGCATATGAAAAATCTATTTTAACATTCTTACCTACCTAAGCTTTTGGAGTCCTTCTTCTATAGCAGGTGTTAGCCCATGGATGAAATCCAGCCCACATCCTGATTTTGTAAATAAAGTTTTATTGAAGCAAAGTCGTGCCTATTCCTTTGTGTATTATCTATGTCTGCTTCTGCACTACAGTAGCAGAGTTGAGTAGTTGTGACAGACACCATATGGCCCACAGCACTGAAAATATTTGATATCTGGTCCTTTATGGAAAAGTTTTCCAACCTCTGCCCTAGAACATACTGAGCTGTGGTTCTTCAGAAGGTTAAGTGTCCCCTTGCCAAGGTGTCTGTCTCAGAAAGTCACTTTTGTCATGAACAAGAGAGCAAACTCTTTGCATTGGCTAGTGAAACTCAGAATGACATGTATGTTCATGATTCTCAGTTTTGTCTGATTTCAACCAGATGATCCCATTCCAAGTTTCAACGATCCCTTTCTTCTCCATCAATGCCCTAACTTTCACAAGACACTTGGTGAGGCTGTGATTTTAAATTGTAAATTTTAAACCAACACAATTAAATTTTGTGTTTAATTTTCAGCAGTATCAGCCCTGTCAGAGATTTTTTTAAGATTTGCCTGGAAGCTCTGTCTCTATTCAGACCATCACTTGTGCTGAGAGAGTTTAAGGACCTGAATTGACTACTTTCTGTCAATGCTCAATGCACTCAGTTGCATAGAGTCTTTGTAGTCATCGCTACTTTTGTAATGGTCAAGGACAATAGCCTCTTGGACTCCTTGGGCACTTATTTCAGCAGATACTTAAGTAATCAACTGCAGGATATAACTCGTAATTGTTTTGCCGGTGCATACGTTGTACCACTAGCCTCCCATTTCCTATCGGCAGGGACTTAGCACTGTGCTCAAGCCCAAAGCCATGACTAAACCAATTCCGCAAGTCCCGTCTTTAATGGTCTGTTTCCTGTGACCATGTCAGTATAATTCTGTATCAGTCAAGAAACAGAAAACAGAAACAGGGAAAATTTAATATGAAGTATTAACGAATAAAAGGGGCAAAAGAGTATTCTTAAGGGGTGTAGAAGTAGCAACTGCACAAAGCAGCTGCCACCCTTGGGGTAGTGGATAACTAACAAGGAGTGAGCTTAGGGGATGCACCCTTCCCCTCTCCCCCAGACTGAGATTAGGATCTCTTTGGAGAAGGGGCGGGTGTCACAGGAACATATAACCTGCTGGTGGAAAAGAAACTTGCCAGACGGCAAGCGGTGGCAGAGAAACTCCCCTTCAGTGCCCCAGAAAAGTCCTTTCCTTCTGCTTTTGCCTAGTAGGGGCCCTTTAGCACCTTCTATCAGCCAAAATCAAGGCAGCAGGCAAAAAAAACCTGTCTACAGGGTCCAGCTCCAGTATCACATCACAGGAAAAAGGGGTGGATTTGGAACTGACAGGCAATAAATTAATAACAAGTTTTTTCCAGTTGGCTGTAACTGCTGTCCGTATGCTACTGCCTCCCATATTTACATCCCCGAGCCTGTTCTTCCCCCTGGAGCTCCAGAGAAGTACTAATACTCAAACTGGCTCTGTCACGTCTTTGCTTCAGTTTTTCGTAGGCATCCTTAGTGGGTACAGAACTAAACACTTTTACCTCTCCTAGTTTTTCCCCATCTCAGTAAATGGCATCACTATTCAAACAAAAACATAGCCTTGACTTTTATATTTTTCTCTCAGTCCATTCCCAGTTTATCAAAGTTCTCCCAGCTCTGCCTTCAAAATATATCCAAGTCCTGCCATTTCTCATCACCTCTATTGCTGCCACCCTGCTCCCGGTCATCATCTCTTGACTCTTAGATCTCAGAAACCATATTTTAGATGTCTTCATTGTATGCTTGATAATTAAATGTCTCCTTGTCCTTAATTCATTCTGTAACTTTTCATTCTGTAACAGCTGTACCCCATTCCTCACTTTCCAAATTTGATGCAAGATACCAAGTCTTAGGGTTTGGGAATGTGCCTGCTGCAGCCCTTGCTGTCAGAGAAAGCCCATTTTTTTTATGTTTGCCAATGCAGCATTAACCCTTATTTTTAAAAATAAATAATATTAACATTATTATTTCTTCTTGTGTGGTTTTGAAACATACAGATAGATCTTCCTAGCTTAAACTAATAATTGCCTATTTTTAGATTTTTTAAAATGTGAAAACATTTTTATAAAGATGACTTTATATCATAAATTTCTGATTGGTTGTATAGAAACTACAAAAGTCGCCACCCACCCACCCCCCAAAATTTTCACATATGTCATTGGCTTTTTATGTTAGTTAAAAACACTCACTCTTTTTCAACAACTTAATTTCTTTTAAGGTGAGTATCAGTACTTTTGTTACTTTCAGAAGAGGGAATAATGGTTTGTATTAATTATTGCTTAGAATTCCATACTACTGATTTCAATAGAAAACTTTATTATCTGGATCCCTCGACTCCTTTTTAATATTGATGTGAGGCTATAATAAATATAGAAATCCTCTTTGAAATTAAAGGTTCTTTAAACACATACTTTATTTTAATAAAAGAAGATCACCTGACATATGCTGTCTTTTTCTTTTAGGTGGACGGTGCTGCTGTTTTTCTCCTGATGGTAAAGCTTTAGCTGTAGGTCTCAGTGATGGAAGTTTCTTAATGGCAAATGCAGATACTCTCGAGGATCTTGTGTCTTTTCACCACAGGAAAGATATTATTTCAGATATTCGATTCTCACCAGGTTAGATTCCATTGAAGTCACATTTGATTATTAACTTGGGCCTGGAATGAGTAAATAAATCAATGTGTAATTTTTATTAACTGTTATTTTACCTAATTTTACTTTTTTTTTTTACTACAAGAGGCAGTATGGTGAGAGGTAAAAGCCCTATATTAGATCAGTGGCAAAATACCGTTAGTGCCAATTCTGTCACTAAATTTTCTGTGTCACTTGGCACTTGGGCCCAGTCTGAGCTTCAGTTTCTTCATTTGTAACGTAAAGAGATTGGATGGACTCTCCTCATTTTAACCTTACTACTTCTGAAATTACATTTTTGTTTCATCAATTTCTATGTATTCGTTACCTATAACAAAACCTACTGTAATGCAGGAATTACTAATGTTAAGGCAAAATTTAGTTTTACTTCTTTTTTCTAAATTTAGAGGGTTTGTATTTTTTTTGGTTAAATGCAAAGTGTACCAAAATTACATTGTATATAATTTTTGACATTTGCTTTCCACTGAACTATTTTACTACAGTACAACATTTATTTCATTGTTAGTTAGAATATATTTTAAAAATACGTTATCTTCTACCATTTGACACTCATATCTTGTTATAACTTACAAAACAACTGAGTTCCTCCCAAAAACTATTAACAAAATTAACTCTAGTTGTACAGTGTAAAAAAAAATTTCTGAATGTAGAAAATGTCAGGAAAATATGTTTCTGTTACAGGTTCTGGAAAATACCTTGCAGTAGCATCCCATGACAGCTTTGTAGATATATACAATGTAATGAGCAGTAAAAGAGTAGGAATATGCAAAGGCGCTACGAGTTATATAACCCATATTGACTGGGATAGTAGAGGTAAGAATTTAAATAATTTAGTATTTTATAAAAGTTTCCTTTGATTTCGTATTGCTAATTTAATGAAACAAAAAGTGACTCAACAGATGAGTTCAAAAGCTTTGTGAAAAGAAAACGTTATTCTCAAAATTATTTTCCAGTGCTTTATTTCACTTCTGAAGATGAGTGCCATGAGTTTAGGCTCATTGGTATTTCTCCTAGTGTAATTCAAATTATAGTACAGTAAGTGTAAATTCTTTAATTTGTAAAGTAATTTAAATGTTATCCATAATATTTTTAATTGTTTGTCCTGGTTTTTGTCAGAAAAGCTTGACATAAATAGTAACTGAAAATTTGGAAAATAGGTATGTTAGTGGGAATTTTAAAGTGATTTCCTCTGATAGAAATACATCCCCTAAAAAATACAGTCATAATTGTATGCCATACACAATTTAATTCATATCTTTGTGTTTTAGCAGAATGCATGGCATGTGACAGTGTTTAATAAGTTTGGATAAATGCTAAGTATTTTAAATGCTCCATTTTTAAGGATTTTTAAAAACTGATTTCAGAATTAGGAAGGGAGAGAAAGAGAAACATCAGTTTTGTTGTTCCACTTATTTATGCATTCATTGGTTGCTTCTTGTATGTACTCTGACTGGAGATCGAACCTGAAACCTTGGTGTATCTGGACCATTCTCTAACCAACTGAGCTACCTGGCCAGGGCCATTTTTAAGGATTTTTGTTTCACATATTTGTCTCTATAAATCAAGTATTATAAATTAAAGTTTTTCAAGTATAGTTGAACAAAATTTTAAAAGTTTCAAAAATAATTTCTAGTGATTTTTTTATATACATAACAGAAATAGTTCTTACATATATATACACACACAAAAATGAAACCACTTATGAATTTAATTACTTAATTATATGGAAATTAACAAAATGAAATGCTCTTAATATATGGTGACTGCAGTAGAAAATGGTTTTTATGTTTAAGCTTAATTTTTCCCACAAAAGTTAAACATAATGCTAAATGTATATGTATTTATATTTTACATATGTGTATATATATAATTTTTTCACATTTGAAAACTTTATTCAAATGTCAAACTTCCTTCTAGAAACATTGTATCAGGTTATGTGCACAACATCAGGGTTCACACCCATGGCAGCAACTGGAATTGTTAAGTCTGTTTTAAGTTTTGACATGGTTAGGTGAAAAATTATATTTTTTAAATTTGCATTTCTAAATTATTTGTTATAGACTTTTGTAATTTTTATTAACTAGTATTCTGTCTTTTAACATATAAAGTTGATATTTTTGTATAGTAAAAGTTAATTTTGTTTTTTCTTTACAATTTCAAGTTCTCATGTTATATTTGTAATGTTCTCTATTTTTTACGATTATAAAAATATAAAATTATAAATATCCGATTACATAAGTGTATACATTTTTTACCTTCTTTTTAAGGAAAGCTTTTACAGGTTAACACTGGTGCTAAAGAACAGTTATTCTTTGAAGCTCCCAGAGGGAAAAGACAAACCATCCCCAGTGTGGAGGTAGGAAGCTAGTAGTGCTTATAATGTTGATTGACTAAAAGTAGTTACAAAACTGATGCCCATTATCATTTAGTTACACATGAAACCTGTTTTCAGATTACTCAAATTATGGATATTCTTTTTCTGAGTTTATTTTATTGGGTCATACTACATAGATAGGTAAAGGAAGAGATGCTGCATTTAAAAAAGAAATAAATTGCTTGCATATCTAGCTATGCTTCAGTTACTTCCTCAAAGCACAAGAAGCGTGCAGTAGCAAATAGATGGCATGACATCTAAGGTTGGAGGACTGCATGTTGGCCAGATCTTTTGGAACCCATATGCTTAGTTGGCAAATCCATGCTTAAAGAAAAGGGGGAAAAAGTGTTCAGTTTTGTGCCTGACAACAGTAGCAAAAATTTTTGACATGACATAGCTAAGGAAGAGAGGTTAAACAAAAGTTAACATGAAAGGGACTGTAAATAAAGCTCTTAATTTCCAACGGTTATTAATTGGAAAACATGCTTTTAATGTATTAGTAAAAATTTAGATGTGAAGGGTGAGAAAAATTTCTTGATTATTCAAAGAGCAGAAATTGGCTTATTTCTTATCACTGTATGCCCCTCATCTAGAGCACACAGTGGATCTATAATAAGTACATCTTGAATAATGTTAAATTTTTTCCACAGGAACTAGAGGACTTGGGAAACTACAAAACCAAGACAACTAATAATATTTTAATTAAATTTTTATTTTACTTATGGCATATAATTATTATGACATGTAGTTATACAGAAAAATATTCAGATTTAGTTGTTAATTTTTAGGTTTAGATATTATAAACTTCGAGCATTTTTTTCCTTTTTAGGTAGAAAAAATTGGTTGGGCGTCATGGACAAGTGTGCTTGGTTTATGCTGTGAGGGAATCTGGCCAGTAATTGGAGAAGTCACAGATGTAATTGCCTCTTGCCTCACCAATGACAAAATGGTTCTAGCCACTGGGGATGATTTGGGATTCGTGAAGTTATTTAGATATCCTGCTAAAGTATGTGTTTTTCTTTATCTCTCCTAATGATTATAACTATGGTTAAGGGAATGTCCTTTCATAGCACTTCATAGTTGTAAAATGCTATTTCATTGTAACAATGAAACAGGAATATTACATAGGTAATATAAGTTGTAATATGAAAGGTTCAGAACTATGTTCCCTATTCTTGGCATCACATTTATGGGTTTTGTCTGAAAATATAATTTATGCTTCCATACCGTAAGTTATATATTATATTGGACAGTGTTTCTCAACATTGAGTAATGTAAGTATCCCCTCTAAAGGAAGCATTCCTTTTATCCCTAATATTAAATAATTTTAGTATTCTTTTGATTAAATATATACCATTAGGAGTAAATTTAAAGTTTATATTTACAGCTTTAAAATTTAAAGTTTCAATCAATTATAATACTATAAATACAACACCTACAAAATTAAAATAAACAATGTTGATTTAATATGATGAATGATGTTATTTTGCTAAAACCAAATGGTACACATTCTTTGGAGTACTGTACTGTATGTCTATGCTACTGTGTGATGACTCAGTTTTCTTATTGCTTTCCTCTATTCAGACTACTTGGAAACATTATTTCAAAAGTAAAATTCATGCATCAAGTCCAGATGCATTTATTCTTGATTGTCACAAATTTAGATATATAATTTGGTACCGACATGAGCATAAACATATATTTGAAACAGGGCACTGAAATCATATATGATATTTGGTTCATGATGGTCTTAATTGCTCATATTCCTATTTTTAGATCATCATTGAAGTGAAAACACAAGTTTAAAAATTCTCATATAGAATTCAGGTGCCCAAGAAAATAGTGTATCTATTTTAAATACACTTAAGTGGTAGAACTTTATAGTTGATAAAAATGTGTTCCAGTAAAACATTTATTAGTCAGAAACTTCACTTCCAACATCTTAGATTGTATAAATGCCCTAAGAATAGGTTTCGGAATATTGGTCTACAGATTCTTTCTTCAGCCTACTCTAACAAAACCCACAAAATCTTAAGGAAACTACCTTCTTGCAGTGTTTTGTTGATAGAGCCTCCTTTTATTTCAGCTAACTTTTATTAAGAGTTTTTGTTCCTGAAGAATTCACTGAGTTAGCTAGTGTTATGTTTTGTATATTTAAAATATTTCTTATATTAACATCCTTGAAAAGATATCCATCTGAAGCCTGCTTATGATACATTATTCTGAAATTTTCTTCTGTAACTTGGTAATACTAGTGTTCTAGATTTAAAAGTCGCCAGTATCTAGAACTTTTATTTTTCTTTTTTAAAAATATTTTTTATTTTTTAATCCTCACTCGATATTTTTTCCATTGCTTTTTCAAAGAGAGTGGAAGGGAGAAAGGGAAGGAGAATGGGAGGGGAAGAGAGAGATCAATGTGAGAGACACATCGACTGGCTGCCTCTCACCCACGCCTACACTAGGGTGGAGCCTGCAACCAAGATACGTGCCCTTGGCTGGATTCGAACCCAGGGCTCTTCAGTCCAAGGGCTGACGCTCTAACCACTGAGCAGAGGTGACCAGAGCTAGAACTTGTATTTTTCTTGATGTACATTCCCATTGCAGTGCTTACAAACAAAAACACGAATGAATTAAGATAAAAGATATTTACATGGGTGTATACCAGAATGATTGATAATTACTTTTGTTAATATGGCCATCCATACATAGATATATTGACATTCTGATTTCTAAATCATCATTTCTGTTTTCAACAATGTGTCTGCATAGCCATTGTTTTCAATAGCCATTGTACTATTTCATAGATATATACTATAATTAGCCAGTACTACTATTAGGAACATTTAAAGTATTTGAAGTTTTTCACTGTTTTAAGTAAGTGCTGTGGTAAATAATTTTTCCACATATAGCATTTTTTAGCATGGCTCTCTAGAAGGGATTGGTAAGTGAAAGGTCAGAACATTTTTATGCTTTTAATGCAGAATACCAAGTTGATTTCTAAAAAAGTTATGTCCATGGTACTAGCGGTGTGTGAAACTATTACTTGCATCCTTCCCTTACCAGCTTGGGAATTGTTATTTTTCATTGTAGTGAATTTCAGTATTTTCTAATTTTTTATAAGTTGTATTTTTAATGATTAATTCCTAATCATATATTAAGAAAGAAATTCAAAATTATAACTGAAAGTTTTCAAGTAATGAAATTTCTCAAAAGGATACTTGACTTTTTTTTATCTTTAGGGAAAATTTGGAAAGTTTAAGAAGTATGTGGCTCATAGTACACATGTCACAAATGTTCGCTGGACTTACGATGACAGCATGTTGGTAACCTTAGGAGGTGCAGATATGTCTTTGATGGTTTGGACAAATGAAATGGAGGGCTATCGAGAAAAAAGGCCTTGTGATAGTGAAGAATCAGATACAGGCTCTGAAGAAGATGGGGGTATGTTGTTTTGCAATGTCTTATTTTAACTAGAACATAGAAAAAAATTAGTACAACTGGTTTAAGCTGCAGAAGGTAAAACAAGGAATAATAATGTTTGAATAATTGTGGTTTTAGTCTGTTTGGTCTTTTTAACACCAAAATTGGTTTTGTGACTCAAGAAGAACAGGCTGTCACGTACTGATGGCTTAGATATTCTTTATCTGCAAATGTAAGATAATCATACTTAAATAAGTACTATTAAAGTTTATAGTATCTAACTTCATGTTTTAAAGTAATTCCTAATATACCAGTAATACCAGCTCATTATAGAAAAATTAGAAAATACATTTTACAGTAAATAATAAACACAGCAGCCATAATTTGACCACTCAGAGGCAACCTCTGTTAACATTTTGGGGTCTATTATTAAGGGTATGTGCATTTATATACATAATATGTTTTTAACAAAAATGGTATCATACTGAACTTATTTTTTGTAGCCTGCTATTACCACTTAGTAATACTTTGAAAACATTGTTACATATCATTAAATATTCTGCTAAATCATTTTTATTGGCTGTATATTATTTTATAATTTGGCTGTAATACAGTTTATTTAACTTCATATCATTGAACATTCTTGTATCCAAATTATAAGATCATACTTGCCTCTTCAGTTTTCACTTAATGAATAACTTGTATTTTAATGGTAGGTTATGACAGTGATGTGACAAGGGAGAAGGAAATCAGTTACACCATCAGAGCCTTATCAACAAACATCCGTCCAACGTTCGGAATCAAGCCTCATTTGCAACAAAAAGAACCCTCACTTGATGAGAGGTAACAGTTAAGTTTAAAACTAGATGGAGAAAAAGATATTGCTATTAAAAATTGAATTTATTTATTGTTTAACTGAATGAATTTTTGCAAAAACCGAGTAACAGTGATACTCTTTTATTATAGAGTCCCCAGCACCTCTTAGAAAACAAGCTTTTCCTTAAATACTTTTTGGTGGTGACACTTTTTTGAAAATAGTTTGGGGAATGATGCTATATTTAAAATATATAATTAAAGGAATCTTATTTGCTAACTTTTATAAATGAATGCGATGGGGTTGGAGGAGATGATAAAAATTGAATCCAATATTAAGTACTTTCTAGGAAGCACATGAGCAGAGATACTAAATTTTGAAAAGGCTTTTTGAGCTATGTGCCTTTAATCAAGGATAGATTTATTTCAAATACTTTTCAAAAAGGCAAGTTAAAGTATAGCTTGTCTCTAATGGGAATTATTGGTCTTTGTCCAGAATCAGCAAATCAAAAATAAGGACACGTACACAGTAATTTTGTGAGGAGATAACTTTTTAACAAAGTCTCTGAGCTTGGTGACAGATTAAGAGAGAAATTGTGAACCTGGTGCTTTTAAATTCATTAGGGAAGATAGAAAACAATAAAGAGGGGTACAGATCAGGCAGTGGCATGGATTTCAAGAAGCAAAGAGGCTTTAAGAAATGACAAAGGAAAATTATCCAGATACAGCCGTGAGGAGCAAGGAATGGGAGGTGAAAACAAGTGACCTCTTCTGCACAAAGCTGTGATGAAGAAAACTTTATTATGAGAAGTTAGTAAGAATATTTGAGGGGAAGGATAAAGAAAGGGAGTGCATTTGCAGTGAACAGAATTTGTGGAAAATTCAAATGAAAGTTTAATTGGTGAGGGTAGTGCTGAAGAGCATTGGAGCTCAGCTAGTAGAAATGATACCACAAGAAAGCATTGGCTGAGGAACTTGAGTTTACACCTGTGGTTTTAATTCTCAGGGGGGAAAGGATGAAGTTGGAAGGGTGAGATGTGTGATAGTGATGGAGGAGTGGGGAGGACTAGAGGTTCACTCCAAAGTTCCCAGGGGACTTTTAGGTGGGATGTTGAGGTGTGATGACTCCACAGCTGTTACAGGGGCCCCATTTGCTGATGGTATACCCCAAATAATAGCAGTGGGGAGTTACCTTATGTGTGATGATCAGCATTGTCATCATGTATAAAAGAGGTGGAGTATGAAGTTAGATGTTTCAAGAAAGTTGGCTGAGCCATAACCTGAATACTTGGCACAGGATTCAAGGTTGAAGTGACTTGGTAGGAGGAGCAGTATCATATAGTGCAAAGGGCATGGTTTTTGGATTCAGACAAATGGGTTAAAATATTCATTTTATCATTTACCAGTTGTGTGGTCTTGAAAAACTGTTCATTCTCTCTGAGCCTCAATTTCCTCAGAGGTAAAATGATCATGATAATCTCTAACTTATGGTTTAAATAAAATAATGTATATAAAGAATTTAGATAGTAGGTCTTCACCAATGACATCCCCCTTGTGGAATGAAATACAGAGTAACCTGAGGAGTACTCTGGTTAATACTGAAACATTTCTTGAAATATATTCACAAAGTAATGAACACTACCTATATATTTATTAAAGTAATATATTTAAATATGCAAATGTGGGTGTTCCTAATTAGAATATTTGCAACATAGTGCTTAATATTACTTAAAGAAAATTATATCACCCAGGTCATGAAAAATGAAAAGTGTTTCATAAGGGAGAAGGAACTTGACATTTCCATAAGTCTTTTTCATTGATTATGTTGATTTTTAAAGAAAAATATTATTTATCAGATAAATTTCATTTGTCAGAAAGTATGACCTAATTTAAATCTGTAGGCCATCTTTTATGGTAAAACACTTAAATTTTCTTCTTCGTTGCTGAAGTGACCGAAGTTCTGACAGATGGAAATATCTTACTGCTCACGGGAATGACTGACACTGCCATAATTGTAATCTTCGCTGTTTGCATTTTTACAGCTAACCTTTTAAAAATTATTTTTTAAATTATTTTGTACATTGTTCTCAAATTATAATTCAGCTCTAAATTCTTCTGCAAATGTTGAGGCAGAAGAAGCCAGTGATGTGATTCATAGTTAGGAGTCTTCATTTTCATGAAATGAAAGAATCAAAGGAAATAAAAACGATGAGGTACTTCTTTTTACCAACTTTGAATATATTTGTGAGGAGAGAACATGGTCTGTATAAATAATTGTTTTCATATTTTAAATAAAATATATTATTGTGATCAAATGCGAAACAAAACACTATCAGCAGTTAAAACAAATGCTTGTCAAATATCCACTTAAAAGGAAAATGCTTCTGATGACAGGAACGTTTGATAACTAACTACTCTAGTTGGCTGATACTTTTGTGGAATATTTTTTTCTAAATGACTAATAATTCTGTTACTCTTTTTCTCTAAATATTTGTGAAACAAATCTTATGTATTTAGTTTATCGTCAATCAAACTTAATATTTTTGAAAAAAAAATTCAAAACAGTGAGACATAAAGTTAGGCACTTTTTGCTTTAAAATTTTGTTGTCAGACTGTTGCCTTTCGTCTGCTTACTAAACTGGTACATTTTATTCATTATCAGTTTTCTTATATGTTTCCCACTTTTTCCCTTTTGCTCCTTTTGAAGGCAGGGGATAGTAAGGTAAGTATTTTATTAAAGAAAATGCTTTACTCAAAAATTGACTCTTTTGTTTTGGTCTTTATAGTATTTTTAAGGTATATTTTTTCCTATGAAACATTCAACTACATTTGTCAAGAAAGAATCAGAAAATGAAATAGGACAAATCCTACGAAAGAGTTATATTTTATAAATAAAATGAGTGGGTGTTGTTACGAGGGTCTTTATTATGATCATTGGTTTTACAAATGACTTTTCAGAAACTCCTATACTCAGCATAGTTTCAGTTTTTCCTTAAGTTTCAGAGACACATAAAAACAATCTGTTAACACATTTTTTATCAGTGGAAGAACTTTCAGTTTATAGTGTCATTTAATGAATGTTTAATGTCTTCTGTAGTTTTAAAACATTAACACAGGGCGGTGATGTATTTGTATGCTTGATAAAGCATGTGCAAGAAAGGACCCTGGGGTACTTCTGTAGCTACTTTTAGTGAGACAAAAATGTCTTTAAATAGTCTCTGAAATAGAACAGTGTGGAAAAGCTAGTTTAGAAGCTTTTAAAAAGGTACCGTTAGGACAGTGCTGGAAGAACATGAAAAAGGAGGTTTGAAACAAGGGTGTATGGAAATTCAGAGATTAGGCACTCCTTAATTTGCAGACTGCAGGAATTGCCTGTTTTGGGCAGGAGGTGATGTGTGCAAAGATGAGTCTGGAGTGTGATATAACTTCTTAAAAGGCCCACGTAATCTTGCATTATTGTAACAGATAGAACACTCAGATGGAGCCTCAGATCTGGAGTAGCTTGCTCAGCACTGATCTCTACAGTGATCTAGAAGAAAAAGCACGATGAAGGAAAGTTGGGAGGCTACTTCACATGAAGAGTAATTAATTCACTGCTGTAGGAATCACTTGTTTAAAAAAAGAGAAACTAAGTGTAAATACTATTGCTGCCTTGGGCATGAACAGCTTTTATGTAAAAGTGACCTCCCTGTCCCAGGCAATGTTTGTATTGAGTTTAGACGACCACTTCTCATTGGTGCTATGAAGAGGTGTTCTCGACATGTAAAGAGGGATTCCTGGTTTCATTGGGAGGATAGATGAGATGACTTCTGGATCTCTTCCAGTTCTGTTTTAGTCATTATGTTATTAAGGGAACATCTTTTTTTAAGTTGTCTCCTTTGCTAGCAGAATCCTAAATCCAGCATGGGTGCTGAGGGACTCACTCTGCCTGCTCGGTTGGACTGAACTCTTTTGGGTCAGACTAAGGGGAGCTTAGACTCTGAACAATTTCCTCAATAGCAGCTTCAGTGCTGTCAGCCTTTTAAGTTAGCTGTTAACATTTTACTGCCCTTTCTTAAGAACAAAGGTAAGCTTTAATATTTTGTTTGAAATTCATATTGCCCTGTAGAAAAATAAGAATGGCAAGTTTTAATGTTTATAATACAAAACATGTTGAATTCTGATTTATTTTCCTTTTTCACTTTTCTATTTCCCTGCCATTAATGGAGTAACTTAAGTCTTTTCTTACATGCAGTAGTAGATAAAAACAGTAGGCCTTTAACATATACAATATAGCTTATCTGTTTTAAATTTGTAAAAAATATTTTATTACAGGAAGTATTTTACTAGTGTTTTAAATTCAAATCTGTGTTATAATCTTTTCCCTTTTTTATCTGCTGCTAAAAAGAGGTTCCAGGTAATCCTCTTTCTTTGCTGTTTTATGAGGCCTAATTTTTTATTTTTATCTTATTTTATGTTTCCCATTAATGAGCTATGTTACTTGGTGCTCTTTACCTCATCACAGTTTTTTACGTTTTTCTCCTTTGAAAAGAGTATTTCTGAAACTAACAGCATCTTAATTGGTTTCATACGACATAAGTAACTGCTTCTCTGAAACTTTATCCATTTAACTTGTATAATTTTGCAAGCTGTGTAATTTTAAGCAATAATATATCTTGTATGAATTCTCTTTACAGAAATTAAAATATACTTAACTGTTACACAGGATTGTATAGATAAAAATTACCTGTTTCTTAAAGCTGCTAAACGATACATTGAATCAAGTTTTCCAGAATGACTTGGAAGCAGAGCAGAGGCTGCTGTCCTTCTCTAAAATGATCCCAGCAGAATATTTTTTAGTTAAATATTATAAATTTCAGTTATATTTATTAATTATATACATTTTTAAAAGTATATGATAAAGGTTTGAGACGAAAAGTTCTATGATAATTTGGAAAGTTCTTTATATAGTTTTGTAAGTGCATTTAATTTCTGTGCCACTAGTCAGCAATGCTTGTGTGCTCCTACATACTGCTTCACATGAAAATGCACACTGCTTTTATGTTACATGTTCAAGATACAGCACTTCATTTACTTTTTTGGGTAGATAACTTGAAAATCATGTTGAAAATACAAATGTATTGTTATGCCTTTATTTTTATGGACTTATTCATAAATGTTGGAATTTTTCACAGGAAAGTTAATTTGTATCACTTCCTGATTTAGTTAAAAATTGAATATTAGCTTAAAATTTTGAGGAGGGAGTTGATATGTGATTGATTTAGATTCAGTGTTCAGGTTATTAAACATTTGAATAGTGGTTATCGCAGTTAAAACTAAATGATGTGGAGTTTTAAAAAAATTTTCGAAAGAGTTTTAGGGAAGAGCGTCCACATTTAAATCGTTCTAAATTGGACCTGTATACACCAAATGGGACATTATGAATAGTTCTGAACTAGCAGTGGAAACAGAAGAGGAAGCTAGATTTGGGAGAGCTACTGTGTAGGTAGAGTTGATAAGTGTTTAGTAAATGGTGAGGATGAGAGAAGGAGTTGGAGGCAGTGGTACTAGCAGTCACCTCTTACGGAGTACGGTACGGTTTGCGGTGCTGTGTGACTGTTACACGTATTGATGGACTGATGGTGATGGCCCTGCCATGCTAGGGGCTGCAGGAGGAAGGGAAGGCAGAGGGCACAGAAGGGAAGGTGGAGTACAGATTCAAACTCAGACATGATTTCTGTTGCCAACAGTGTAGAAAGTTCATAGAAATATTTTCAAAATTCAGTTCAAGAAGAATCTGTTGAATACCTGCCGTGTATAAAATACTGTGGTAGATAATGTAGACCAGTAATCCAGGCTTTGTTGGTGATGCACCCCATCAAGAAGCTTTGAGTATGTAAAACTAACGTTCTGTATATTTTTATAAGCAGTCTGCTCTTATGCTAGTATAGTATTTACATAATAAAACATATACCAAAGAAATAAAAAGTAAAATGAATAAAAGGTCTGATATTTTCTTTCCACCTTTGTTTTTTAGAAGATATCAAGATAGAGAGGGCACAGCCTAGTGAGCACACAGCTTGGGTTGATTTTTATGAAAGGGTGTTAGACATTTCTCTCTGGAGGGCAGGTGAGGGAGGCTCCGTGAAGGCACCGGTGAAAGGTGCCTTTCCTCATTCCCACTATCTGTTTCAGGCCCCCGGTGAGCAGGGCCCCACCACAGCCAGAGAAACTCCAGACAAACAATGTTGGTAAGAAAAAGAGACCCATAGAGGTGAGGAAAACTCATTCTCTACTGTTAACTTATTTTTTAAAATGTATCCAGAGTTCATTCTGTTCTCTTTTTGTAAAATACCCAAATCTTGTCATAGTTTTAATGAAAAGAAACATATTGAATAATCTTTTTTGTTTGGTTGTAAAAATTGATTGCTTAACTGTCAAGTCTGAGGTTTAGATTGACATCCTCTGTGTCTCCCAGGCATTTCATAATCCCAGTATCAGCAGTAACAAGCAAACTGTGCTAAATTGGGTCAAAAAGAAGGTGTCAAAGCTTGGGAGGGTGATTGTTGTAACTCCCTGCCCCACTCAGCTTCACAGATCAATGAAAGCATGAGTCATCAGGGAAAGCGCACTTTGTTTTGTGCACCAATATTGAAGTACTGTTTGGATCCTTAAAAGTACATCACTTGGACATAATTTGTACTGAGTTATGTATGCAGATCAGATATTTTGACTAATGAACACAAATCAGAATATTCTTCTTTTGGACAGAAGTATCTCAGTGTTTAGTGCATGAAATCTTAAGAACTGAAATTCTCGGAATCAGGTGACCTCGTTTTTATAACTTTATGTAGAAGGTATAGAATGTGTGTTTTAGCTGTCCAGAACAGATTACATAAAGAAGTATGACTAGCTTAATTTTGTTTTTGCAGTTTGTAAAACTGCCCTTTATTTTTTCTGAAGATACCAGTACTGTATACAAAAAAAAAAAAGTGAATATTTAGACATGAGGAATTGTATAATGGTTTCATCATTGTTACAGGACCTTGTGTTGGAGCTTGTTTTTGGCTATCGAGGCAGAGACTGTAGGAATAATGTTCACTATTTAAATGATGGTGATGATATAATTTATCATACTGCATCCATTGGAATTCTTCACAATGTTGCTACAGGTAGGAAAACCTGATTCTTCATCCCTATTTTTTCTTAAATTTAGGATTTTTTAATTTAGCATCTTAAAATTCTTTGTTAAAACTATAAATAAAATGCATGAGCCCAGAATATAAGTATTTCATACTGTAGAACTTACTACTGATATTTCAAGTAACCAAATTTACAGTCTTAAAAGAATATAATAGCAGAAAAGGATTTCATAATGCAAAGTGCTCTTAGGTCTCTATTAGAAGCGAAGGTTTACTGTATGTTGAAACCATGTTTTATAGTGAAACCATTTGTAATTTTATTCTGTTTACCTATAACCTTATCATGAAAATGGATGATTTGGACAGTTGTCTCTGAGAGTGATTGAAAGTATAGCATGTTGAATGAGTTGATTGTTGGGGATAAGGTAGGTGGTGTTCATACTGAAGCTTTGGAAAGCCAAGGAAGTTAGCTAAGAAAGTTGCTTGTCTGTGTTTCTACTGACGATCCCTTGTTTGATTCGAGAAGGTAAGAAAATATTTGTTGATGTTTATTTAACTGATTGGATTCTTGCAAAGCAAAGTTCTTAGGATCATTTGATGACCCTCTACAATCTAGCCCCAACCTACCCTCCTGACCTCATCTCCCACGCTCTGTTTCACTTTCCTTTGAATAAAGCTTACCTTTATTACCCCGCATGGTTGCCTGGTAAGGTGTCTTCACTTTGATGACTACTGGATGAACCACATTACTTCTTTGATCAAAATTCTTAGTACCTCCCCACTGACTACGGAAAAAACATGAAATTTAATAGGATTGCATTAAAAATCCTCTATAATTCTAGTTCCAGTTTGCCTTTCAACTGTATTTCTCACTTATCTTTTTATCACCCTACACTTCAGCCAAATGAACCCTTTGTGTGCATACCCAATACTTGCCTTTGTACCTTTGCTTAAAGTATTCTACCTGGAATGCTCTTCCCACCCATCTTTACATTTACTGAATCTGCCACATCAGTCCAGGAGTGCCATGTGCCCAGGATCAGAGGACTTCTCTGTTGTGAATTCCCACAGCGTTTGTCTTTGATTCTCTGTGGAACTTGCTGTCTTCAGCCTGTATCAAATTGGCTTATGCCTTTCAGGGGTCTATCCCTTTAAAGATTTCTGGGTCATTTTTCCATCTTTATGATGATACACACATATTAAGTGCTCAAAAATACGTGTTAAATAAGCAAGTAAGTGAAACAGAAGTTTATTATTGTGGATAAGTGCATCTGGCTGTTATACTTTAAAGTTTTCAAATTTAATTCTCAAATTCTTTTTTATAGGGACTCAGAGTTTTTATCAGGAACATAATGATGATATTCTGTGCCTCACTGTAAATCAGCACCCCAAATTCATCAACGTAGTGGCAACTGGCCAAGTAGGTATGTTTGTGTATTTTAAAAGAAACAATTTTAAGTAATTATCTTGTTAAAATTAATTCAGTATCCTAGGGAAAAAGTTAAAATATATTTGTGTATTGTTCAAAATGTACTTGCACAGAAAGCACACACCCAGTTTTTCCCATATTATTTACTTCCAGGTATCTTTGTCTCACTTTGGTTATCGTGAGTTGATTTAAACAGTTCAGGATTAAAAATAAGCTAATTTATGGTGGTTGAAATAGTTGGATTTAGCAATTTAGCAGAAATTTTTGATTGGCAAAAAGGTTTCATTTAATAGCATGTAAAGCAGAAAGGAAGAATTCGAGGACAAGGGAACTAAGGGGTTAAGCTAGAAAGAAGAGAGACTCTAAGTCTGTCCCACGTTCATAAATCCCTTCTGCCTGTTTCTTTTCTTGGAATTGGCCTAATTTGCCAACTATTTTGAAATCATCACCTGTACATTGCTGTGTTTAACTCTATAGACCCATAAACTTAAACCAAGGCCATAACTCTACAAGCAAAGCGATGAAAGGATAGCAGGTCTAGTGAGGACATGTCTACCAATCAGTCAGTGATCACTGTGAATTCTACATAACAGATTTTGTCAGTCAGACCTTCACAACTCTGGTATAGTTTTAGAAATGATTGATCATGGGTTTGTTGGATCTCAATGGGCCTCAATTGCTAAGCCAGCTTTCGAGGTGTCTTTTTCTTCTTAAATAAGATAATTTATGCTTTTAATATCTTCATTTTCATATAAGTACTAAATCGATCAGTTAGATACTCATTTTCTGGGTCACTTAGTTCTACAGTTAGACCACAAAGACCCTTGCGTCCTTCACTTTCTTCTCTTGAGTTATATGGAACTTTTGCCATCATTTCTTGCAAAGGTTTAGATCTAAAGCTCCCCTTCAAGTAGAGATACATTACAACCTTAAAGGATCTGTTAACAGTTCATTCTGTAAACCAAAATGGGGGCCATATTAATTCAAATCATATCATTATTTTTAAAGTTGTTAAAATTTTATTTTTTTATTTTACTTTTTATTTTTTTAAAATATATCTTTATTGATTTCAGAGAGAGGAAAGGAGAGGAGAGAGAGAGAGAGAAATATCAACAATGAGAGAGTCATTTGATCAAGCCCGAAACCCAGGCATGTGCCTTGACCGGGAATTGGACCCTGATTGCCTGGATCCTCGGTCAACGCTCAACCGCTGAGCCACGCCCAGCCAGGCTAAAGTTGTTAAAATTTTATATAACTTATTAAATACAAAGAAAATAAAGTATTGACCCAAAGTTTGAAAGGTCATCTATATAGAATGCTAATATATTATGTATAATTTAAATTATTGGCTTTGCTTACAGTTTACTCAATTTCACATAAAAGTAATTTTGTATATGACACTTTATTATTTAAATTATTTAAAAATTATCAGTATTTTATGATAATTGTTTTTACATATTTTACTTATAGTATTTGTTATTTATGGATAATATTTTTCTACTTTTTTATTTTAGGTGATTCAGCAGACATGTCAGGTAAGGAAAACTAATCATTTTTTTGTTTTAGTTGTATTGTTTGGTAATGATAATCCAAATTTTTACAGAGTAAATGAGATACTTGGACCTATTTTGGTTTTTTAAAATGAAGAATACATCATTTTAATGTCATACTGAGTCCAATGTGTAATAATAATACTAATAACAATTTTTCAAAAATAATATATTTTGACTTTTTTAGTGTGCCCAGCACTGCTATAAGCACTATACATGTATTACCCATTTAGTCATCACAAGAATTCTTCATGGTAGGTATTAACTTGCCAATATCATGAAGTTGGTAAGAGTGGAGGTGGGTTTAAAACTTAATTTTAAATATAAATCAGTGCCCTGCTGGGCGTGGCTTAGCGGTTGAGTGTCAACCTAGGATCCAGGCGAACGGGGTTTGATTCCTGGTCAGGGTACATGCCCGAGTTGCGGGCTGCACCCGATCAATGACTCTCACATCATTGATGTTTCTCTTTCTCCCTCTCCTTTCCTCTCTCTGAAATCAATAAGGATATATTTTTTTTAAAAAAAATAAATGTAAATCAATAAATTTCATTGCCTGAAAATATCTTTTAAATTTATTTTTATATACTATCCCAATTATTGCACATATTAGATCAACAGGTCATGTAAAGATGTAAGAATAACTTTTTATTAATTTTGACCATGGCCTTGTGAATTTAATGAGCTATTAAGTAAACAATGTGTATTCATTGTTTTTAGATATGTAATAACTAGGCTTTTCAACTCAGTTTTTAGTTTACATGATATAGTAAGAATTAGCAGTTGGATAAGAAAACATTTCCCAGTGATTTGTATATATTTCCTTGCCCTCTCCTCGTCTAGCATAAAGCATGATTTTGTGATTTGACTGTCCACTTACAAATGTATTCAACACAGCTGGCAGGTCCTTGCTCTCCTTACTATGCACAAGAGCAGAGGTTGGCAGACTACAGCCCTTGGGCCACATCTGGCCCACCACCTGTTTTTGTAAATCTGGCCCACCACCTGTTTTTGTACTGCTTATGAGCCAAGTACAGTTTTTACTAATTTAAATAGTTGGAAAAAAACAAGACTAAAGCTTCACACATGAAAGTTATATGAAATTAAAATTTCACTATCCGTAGATAAATTTTATTGGACACGGCCACACTCATTCAGTTACATACTGTCCATAGCAGCTTTTATGTTGCGATGGCAGAGTTGAGTAGCTGCAGCAGAGACTGTATGTGACACTCATGACTGCACAGCTGCTCAGCCCACCGCAATTTGCATGGTACAGCTACAACTTGACGGGTTTTGAGTGCTGTGTGCACCACTATACCACAGCATTGGTTTTGTTTTTTTAACCATGTGCATCTATCATGTGAAAACAAGGGGGGAAAAAGGAAAGTGGGCTTTGAATGTCACACTTTTAAGTCACAGTGAAGTGTGGATTATATTGTTACCAAATTAGATGGTAAAACATTGTGTTTATTATGCAGTGATACTATAGCTGTGGTAAAAGAATATAACATACGTCAACGTTTTCACATTAAACTTTATCACAATATTTCCAACTCACAGAAAATCAAAATCAGAAAAATTAGAAAATTCATAACAGAGTATCTCATCACAACAATTTCTTCACAAAAATAAAAAATAAAATGAGGCGACAACCAAAGTGTTTCTGAATGGCTCATTTGTTAGCCAATCAGAAAAGCTGTTTACTGACCTGTGTTAATTAAATCATGTTTGATTTGCAGCAAACATGTCCAGAGAAAATAAACTTGTTTAAGACTATTAGCTTTTTGGCAAAAAAAATTGCTAAAAGAGTTGGGAATGTTAGGAACAAAATCAGTAGTCAATTAAAAGCAAGACAGAAAAAGAAAATGATTTTGAATGGTTTCCCTTGGCTCTTGATGGATCGACAGATGTTTCCAGTTGTTCATTTGGAGACAGAAATAACTACGTGATATTTCTTGAAAATCCATTATCTACATCTCTTCACATTTAAGCAAATATAGTATATGAATTGCCCTGAGGTGCTTTTTGTAAACATATAAAAATGTTTTTACATTATAGAAGACCCATATAATATTTACCACTAGCAAAATTTAGAGTGATCTGCCAGTTCATATTTACATTTTAAATTTGAACCAGGTAGCATACCTTACTGGTACTGTTTATAATCCCATATCCTTTGACTTCTGTTAAATAAGAGACACATTTTAGTCCAGCACTTCAGTTATTGTCAGTTTTTCACATGCAAATGCCTTATTACTCGATAACCTTCTGTGTCTATTTCTGTGTAGTTTTGATTTTTTACATAAAGTTGCACAAATCTTATGTCAACTATATGTAATTGAAAAAATTTTTAAATTATAAAAATAACTTGAAAAGAAAATTGCATAAATCTTTGAACAATTCCTACTTAATGATACTAAAACTTAAATCCCTGGTTTAATATGTTGTAACTACTTTGTTTGAGGAACTATCAGGTTTAATTTATCATTGTATAATATAAATTGTAGATGGCATACAATATAGTCTGAATTGATCAGAATATTTTCCTTAGAGACCAAAGTTTCTTTCTGCACCAAATGGTTTTAAGGCAGCGTGTTTTACTTAATATTTCTCTATTTTGCAAGACAGTATTTTTAGTAGATTTATAATTTAAAGCAAATGGATGTTTGTATTTTGATTACCAAGAGTACTTATGTTCTGAGACTGAATTAGCTGGTGAATTAACTCATCTGTTTTTTAAGGGTGTAGTTCATGAAAAAAGGACAATACAAAGCTATGAGTTTTTAACTTAGAAAATATTGAGTTGGGAAATTTTTTTAAACAGTAGAAACAGGCTCCAAAAAATTAGTAACAATAAATGTAATTTTTTAAAGATTAGTTTTATTTCTTCCATAAAGTCCTGCTTTAAAAACACTTTCTTATAAAGTAATATGTGTCAGGAACCAGCCTGAAAGAGGAACAAACCTGAGTTCGAGCGGTGGGAATAAAAGAGACAAAGTTATGGGATCAGGAGGGCTGCCCTCGGATGAGGAGCAGCCCCAAATGGCTTCAAAGCCTTTATTATATAGTGAGTAACAAACAATTAATAATGAGGTGGGGGTGATACAAAGTAGTTACCTCAAGGCTGCATGAACGCTCTTTCAGAGTAAACACCCTGCCTCCTGCATGAGCCCAGACCTTGGTAATTATACTTATCTCCTTCTAATGGGAACTTGTGGGGAGGGTGGAGTCCTTGCTCCAGAGCCTCAGGCTACATGGACCGTGTCCACGTCACCAGCTCCCAACAAATATGGACTTAGCATTTTACTGGATATCTATCCATATGGTAGGAATTTCTTTTGAGATCTTTTCTGGTCGTTTCCTACCTATTGCTTTTCTCAGTTTCTGTTTGCTTTTCATCTCTCCTTTAGATAAACTAAGTACTGAATATACCTTGGTCTTTATTGCATAATATTTATATATTTCTCCACATAATTATATGAAGATTTAACATGTATCTAAAACATACATTATTTTTGAGTAGTTGTTTAAAGTGATTACCTAATTTGCTAATCTAAATGCTGTTTTCTCAAAAGTGCAATTTGGACTATAGACTGAAGATATATTCTGTATTTTCCCCCTTTCCTTCCTCTTTCCTTTTCTTTCTTTTTAGTCTTATTTATGCATTTTTAAATTAAGTACAGTCTTTCTTTGGTCCATATTTTCCATGTTTCAGAGATGAGTGTGCCTCAGCTTTACAAATGGAAGCATTTGTAAGAGGCGTATTACAGCTTTTGGATTTTATCTGTATTTAGCTACAGCTCCCTCTATCCATGTCTGGGATGCAAGGAACAAGCAGACTTTATCGATACTAAGATGCTACCATTCGAAGGGCGTGTGTTCAGTCAGCTTCAGTGCTACTGGCAAACTCTTGCTGTCTGTGGGACTAGATCCAGAACATACTGTTACCATTTGGAGATGGCAGGAAGGTAGGATTCTTTTCTTCGTGATTTTTAAAAGTAAGAATACTATGGTAATGTGAATTCTCTAGTTAGTCTTTGCCCTAACTAGTGATAGAAAACATTACTCACCACAGTCTGCACAGTGCACAGTGCACAGCTGGTGTTACTGTAGGTATGTCTCACTTAAAACCAGCGAAGTTGTGAGCTCGCAAAACAAACTAATGAGAGTTACCGATATTATAAATGATTTGCTGCTCTTTCAGTAAGAAACTATATATATAAGCAGTTTGCTAATTATTATTTGATTGGAGAGTCTTAATCAAGAATGGAAGTGAACTATATTGTAAGTGACAATGGAAGATCAATAGGGTCATATTACTTAATACACATCAGACAAAACTTCTCAGGTACATAGCTACTAGAAAAAGTGAAGTTCATACAGCTACATAGAAAAAAATAAGATGTGGTTTCTAAAATCTAAAATGCTCCTTAATGATGACTGCAGTCTTGTAGTCAACCAGCTGAAAGGCAGCTGGGTGAATGCTCATGGGATGAAGGACAAACAGCTTTAAGTTTTAATGAATTTTTATAAACCAACAATAAATAAAATGTCCCTGAAATGGTAATGAAGCTCCCCGTACACACATCAGTTAAAAAATGTGTGGAAAGGACCCTCTGCACAAGTAACTGCATAGTATGTGATTGCCAGGGAGCAGTGCGAGGGACGCACCCTCTCTCTTTTTTAAATAAGTATTTGCTTTTTGAACTACATATTGAGTAACTGTTTGGTCTTATAAAAATTAGCTTAGTTTTTATATTAACCTACATGATTTTGTCATATCTTTATCAGGTGCCAAAATCGCCAGCAAAGCTGGTCACAACCAACGTATTTTTGTGGCAGAATTCCGACCAGATTCAGATTCCCAGTTTGTCTCTGTGGGAGTAAAACATGTGAAGTTCTGGACACTGGCAGGAAGGGCTCTTCTTAGCAAGAAAGGGCTGCTGAGCACTCTAGAAGATGCCCGGATGCAGACCATGCTTGCCGTTGCATTTGGTGCAGTATGTCTCTTAAAATGCCTGTGGTAGTGTACTTTGAATTACTTAAATTGGACTACTTTGAATTTTCTTGCCTTAGATAAGCCACATTAATGCTGTTTATATGGCACTGTAATCTACTAATCATTGCATATGTCTTGGTCATGCATATATTTCATCTTTCAAAATATGATACTTTAAGAAATCAAGGAGTAAGAAAGTTAATGAGGGAGGACTCTAATGGAAACTTGAATCCCTGGGCTGCAGCCATTCTCAAAAGCCTTCTTTAATTTTGTAATTGTCACCCTAAATCTCCTAGGTCCTAAAAACTTGTCAGAAAAAAAGATAAATCAAGAAATGTAATTTTCATATGTTGAAAAGATGGTACTTGGGTTTAGGATTTCCTCTGCGATCTATCATCTTAACTCGCTGCTTCTCACATGGTTGGAAGTGCTCTGGGCTAGTGTCTCTCATTCAGGGGAAGAGAGCACAACTCCTGGTCTTAACAGAAAATGTGAAGAGCCACTTCCTCCCCTCCCCTCCCATCCCATCTGGGATTGTGTTTTACAAAGCACATCTCTCCTTTAATACCCTATCCCTCCCAGGCTTTTTAAATCCTTTGGTGCATTAAAACCTAAGTGGATCTCCTTTCTGAAGGGTTTGTGTGACTATGAAAACAGCAGGAGAAACACAATATTGGTTTTTACACTTGAAGCATTTACATTCTAATCATAGATGAGGCATAAATTGATGCTCCTAGATGACGGATGTAACTGTTATTCAAATATGGGCTGCGGAGAATAAGTATAAATGCTGAGGAATTCACAGTAACATTCAGTTGTTGTTGGAAATTAAACATACAAACTAGTATTTTCGGGAAGATTAAAGAAAAATCTCAGTTTGTTTCTGTTATCATTCAGAGTCTTATTTTCCATTGTTTTTTTTCCCATATTGTTTTGGGTGAAAGATCTTATACAAGTTGCTCTAAAAGTGAAGCTAAAATGGGATAAAACTAGCACATGATGCAGGATTTTATTTCTCCAGTTTCCACAGTTCTCAGAGTGACCTAAAGCATTTGGGTACCTTATCAAGTTTATCTTTTTCGATTGATTGCAGAAATGCATTAACTTTTGCTATCTTGATTTTAAGAAGTGGCAGGTGTTAATTTTTCATTTCTAACATGAGTAGTGAAACTGGAAAAACTACAACTTTGCTGTAGGTAACAGTTTTTCTTTCTGTGACAAAATAGCAAACCTGATAAAAAGTTATTTTCACTTCCTATTTTTTTTCTTTTTTCACTCAGTTACTTGTGACCTTTATTTCTTGGGCAGCTACAAGGAAACATTCCAAAGGGACTATAGGAACTAGAATTATAGTATTTTATAATTGAAAGAGACCTTAGAGACTGTATTCCCCTTTTGCACATGAAAAAACTGATACCCACAGAGGTTAAAAGTCCTGTCCTAGGTTATTCCAGCTGATAAGCAGCAGAACTGGAAAAGGAAAAGCCCTGACAAAGCGAAGCCTCAGGTCAGGCTTTCAGGCTGTTGCTCCTACTGCTCCTCCCACCAGGCCACGCTTGCTGTGGCCAGGGAGGCAGGTTCACGTGTACATAGAGAATTGCATGTCGGAACTCCACTTGAACTTTTGATAAGTGTATCTTCCCCACTCCTTTTCAGAATAACTTGACGTTTACAGGTACCATCAGTGGAGATGTCTGCGTATGGAAAGATCACACACTGTGTAGGATCGTGGCCAGAGCTCACAACGGGCCTGTGTTTTCCATGTACACCACCCTGCGAGACGGGCTTATTGTGACTGGTGGCAAAGAAAGGCCGTGAGTCCCTTTTCTTTTCACAGCCTTCCTGACTGCTGATGCATTGTGATCTGCCCAAGGTCTGCAGCTAGTTATTCTCGTTATTTCTAGGCTATATGGATTACCTTCTGACCTTCCTCGCACATGTGTCTTTTATTGCCTTTTATGTACCTTCTTGTTGATTCTTATTTCTGATTTGATTTTATTTATTTTAAAGAATAGTTTATTGATTTCTTTTTAGAGAGGAGGGGAGAGAGAGAGAAACACTGGTGAGAGAGAGAAACATGGGTCCATTTCCTACATACCCCCAAATGGAGATCAAGCCTGAAACCTGGGCATGTGCCTGGACTGGGAATCAAACCGGCAGCCTTTCACACCAACCAGGGCCTTATTTCTGATTTTAAATGGCTTTTTTTTTTTCTTTTTTTTTTTTGCATTGTTAGATAAACTCCAACAACTTGGGGTGATAATTTTTCTGAGGTATAGATAGGTGATTATCCTGCAAGTTAAGAATTGATTTTCTTGGCTCTGGCTGGGTAGCTGTTGGTTAGAGCATTGACCCAATGCACCAAGGTTACAGGTTTGATCTCTGGTCAGGGCACATACACAAATCAACCAATGATGTATAAATAAGTGGAACAAATCACTCTCTCCCCCTCCGTCCAGTCCTCTCTCTCTAAAAATCAATAAAATATGATTTTTAAAGTTTTTTTTTGGTTAATCTTCACCCAAGGATATTTTTTCCATTGATTTTTAGAAAGAGTGTTGGGGGGACATTGATGAGAGATGCACATCAATTGGTTGCCCTCCCGCACAAGCCCCTCCTGGGGCGGGGAATCAAACCTGCAACCCAGGGACATGCCCTTGACCAGAAATCAAACCTGGGGCCCTTTGGTGTGCGGGCTGACACTAACCACGGTCCACACTGGCCAGGCCAAAGAATGACTTTTCTTTATATTGATAAGCCTGTAAGTATTTGCTGAGTAATAGGTGACTCACAGGGGAGTCTTCGCCACGGAGCCCAGGATACACCTTGACTGCTTGCTTTTTGCTGAGACCGGATGCTGAGGGGTGGCCTGCATGTTGCTGCGTTAGAAGAGGAGAGGGTGCTTTAGAAATACCTGTGCCCTGTTTGCTTTTTTTTTTTTTTAGTATGTTTTTAATTGATTTTTAGAGACGAAGAGAGGAATAGAAAGTTTAGGAACATCCATGAGAGCCCTAGCCGGCTTGGCTCAGTGGTTGGCGTGTCAGCCCGAGGACGGAAGGGTCCCAGGTTTGATTCTGGCCAACCAAGGGCACCCACCTCAGTTGCAGGCCGGATTCCCGCCCTGGTCAGGGCACGATTCATTGTCTCTCTCCCCCCTTCCACTCTCTTTGAAAAGCAATGGAAAAAATATCCTCAGGTGAGGATTAAAAAAAAATAAAAAGAAACATAAATGAGAAACATCGATCTGCCTCCTGCGTGCCCCCTGCTAGGGATCGAGCCTGCAACCCAGGCATGTGCCCTGATCAGGAATCAAACTGGTGACCTCTTGGTTCCTGGGTCGACACAACCACTGAGCAAACCAGCTGCGCTGCTTCCTTTGCTTTTGCTTGAGACAAACTTGTTAAATTGTTTAATAAAAGACCTCAAAATTTAAGTCTGAAGAGAGGCCTTTTCCTGAGTGATTTTCAAATCTTCCAGTGAAAACCAGATACTTATCATAGATTCCTACCAACATATTCATATGCAAGTTAAAGTGTAACATATAATGTGACCAAGAAGTAAGTATATTTCAGTACAGGACTGAAAGAACCCACATATGTCAGTTAAATACAAACACAGCCGCTCTTGGCCTTCTCATAATGGAAGACAGTATGTCTTGTGGCACAAGAGCATGTTTTCCCCAAGACAAGCAGTTCGTCTAGCAGAAACGAAGCAGTACACATTCCAGTCTTCCAGGAGAAACACCGTAAATGAGCTCTATTCTGTCTTTTATCTGTTACTCTGACACTCGTTTCTCAGTCATCTAGTCTTGCACACCCCTACTCATTAGTAGCCTATAAACTGTTTCAGTGGGTTTTTTTAAATCTTAGGAATGGTTTTATAACTAAGGTGATAGGATGGCCTTGTTCAAATGCCAAAGCTAACATGGAACATTTCACTAATGCCTGTAAATCAAAGCAGATGAAAATGCAATTTCCTGAATATTTTATACATACATACATACATATATATACTTATTAGATAAAAGATATATTTTTTCAGGCTTTGTTTTCAGTAGGATATTCAANCTTTTTTTTTTTTTTGCATTGTTAGATAAACTCCAACAACTTGGGGTGATAATTTTTCTGAGGTATAGATAGGTGATTATCCTGCAAGTTAAGAATTGATTTTCTTGGCTCTGNTTTTTTTTTCTTTTTTTTTTTTGCATTGTTAGATAAACTCCAACAACTTGGGGTGATAATTTTTCTGAGGTATAGATAGGTGATTATCCTGCAAGTTAAGAATTGATTTTCTTGGCTCTGGCTGGGTAGCTGTTGGTTAGAGCATTGACCCAATGCACCAAGGTTACAGGTTTGATCTCTGGTCAGGGCACATACACAAATCAACCAATGATGTATAAATAAGTGGAACAAATCACTCTCTCCCCCTCCGTCCAGTCCTCTCTCTCTAAAAATCAATAAAATATGATTTTTAAAGTTTTTTTTTGGTTAATCTTCACCCAAGGATATTTTTTCCATTGATTTTTAGAAAGAGTGTTGGGGGGACATTGATGAGAGATGCACATCAATTGGTTGCCCTCCCGCTCAAGCCCCTCCTGGGGCGGGGAATCAAACCTGCAACCCAGGGACATGCCCTTGACCAGAAATCAAACCTGGGGCCCTTTGGTGTGCGGGCTGACACTAACCACGGTCCACACTGGCCAGGCCAAAGAATGACTTTTCTTTATATTGATAAGCCTGTAAGTATTTGCTGAGTAATAGGTGACTCACAGGGGAGTCTTCGCCACGGAGCCCAGGATACACCTTGACTGCTTGCTTTTTGCTGAGACCGGATGCTGAGGGGTGGCCTGCATGTTGCTGCGTTAGAAGAGGAGAGGGTGCTTTAGAAATACCTGTGCCCTGTTTGCTTTTTTTTTTTTTTAGTATGTTTTTAATTGATTTTTAGAGACGAAGAGAGGAATAGAAAGTTTAGGAACATCCATGAGAGCCCTAGCCGGCTTGGCTCAGTGGTTGGCGTGTCAGCCCGAGGACGGAAGGGTCCCAGGTTTGATTCTGGCCAACCAAGGGCACCCACCTCAGTTGCAGGCCGGATTCCCGCCCTGGTCAGGGCACGATTCATTGTCTCTCTCCCCCCTTCCACTCTCTTTGAAAAGCAATGGAAAAAATATCCTCAGGTGAGGATTAAAAAAAAATAAAAAGAAACATAAATGAGAAACATCGATCTGCCTCCTGCGTGCCCCCTGCTAGGGATCGAGCCTGCAACCCAGGCATGTGCCCTGATCAGGAATCAAACTGGTGACCTCTTGGTTCCTGGGTCGACACAACCACTGAGCAAACCAGCTGCGCTGCTTCCTTTGCTTTTGCTTGAGACAAACTTGTTAAATTGTTTAATAAAAGACCTCAAAATTTAAGTCTGAAGAGAGGCCTTTTCCTGAGTGATTTTCAAATCTTCCAGTGAAAACCAGATACTTATCATAGATTCCTACCAACATATTCATATGCAAGTTAAAGTGTAACATATAATGTGACCAAGAAGTAAGTATATTTCAGTACAGGACTGAAAGAACCCACATATGTCAGTTAAATACAAACACAGCCGCTCTTGGCCTTCTCATAATGGAAGACAGTATGTCTTGTGGCACAAGAGCATGTTTTCCCCAAGACAAGCAGTTCGTCTAGCAGAAACGAAGCAGTACACATTCCAGTCTTCCAGGAGAAACACCGTAAATGAGCTCTATTCTGTCTTTTATCTGTTACTCTGACACTCGTTTCTCAGTCATCTAGTCTTGCACACCCCTACTCATTAGTAGCCTATAAACTGTTTCAGTGGGTTTTTTTAAATCTTAGGAATGGTTTTATAACTAAGGTGATAGGATGGCCTTGTTCAAATGCCAAAGCTAACATGGAACATTTCACTAATGCCTGTAAATCAAAGCAGATGAAAATGCAATTTCCTGAATATTTTATACATACATACATACATATATATACTTATTAGATAAAAGATATATTTTTTCAGGCTTTGTTTTCAGTAGGATATTCAAATAATAATGGTAGGGAAAAAACGTGCTTCTCTTTTGGCCCTTAAACTATATCCCGAAGCATGGCCGCTGGGATCCTTTCCTCTAGCCTTACATGCCCATTGTCCCCTTAACATTAAAAATCCTTTTGTACATTTCCTTAATCAAGAGGTATTATGAAAGGATACATGTTTGGGGGCGCTAGATAAAATAATGCTGTCAGAAAAATGAATTTTCATAAAATTTGCTTAACCTGAATGTTTGACAGAGATAAGTGTATCTTAAAATTGCCATAAAAAGTTTAGAATATATGAAGTAAATTATAAATATCAGGATCTTCTTTAGTATCTTGCTTATAATTATTTGTTTAAATAAACATTATTTGTAATAGCCAATAATAATTGTTTTGGGGTTGGGTGTTTTCAGGTCCAAAGAAGGAGGAGCAGTCAAACTGTGGGACCAGGAGCTGAGGCGATGCCGCGCCTTCCGGCTCGAGACAGGACAGGCCACGGACTGCGTCCGTTCCGTGTGCAGAGGCAAAGTAAGCTGCTCCTTGAGCCATTTAGTGCAGCAGGAAACGGAAGGTTTCTTCCTGTGACTCTTCCCCTGCATATTGGTTTTATTCTACCTTTTCCCTGCTGCTTCCTTTGCAGCTCTGCCTTTGGCAGCCGCGTGTCTGCACCAGGGCAGGGTGTGGGGTGGGAGCTGCTGGGCTCAGCGCTGCATTTAACCCTCCATATTTTCTTGAGTCTGCTAATTCAGCCACGGTAGACAGAACTGAATTTCCTTCCCAGTTGACTAATTTTGACTAGTGCAGTTATCTCATTTTCTTAAAAATTTTGATCACACGTACTTGCAGAGTTATCTATAAATCATTTACACATATTGTCAGTCTGTATATTAAATATTAGTTAAGCTTACATTTATACTTATTTTTAATTAAAATCAATACTTTTCTCCTTATATCTCAGTGCATTTACACCTCTTTGGAGATCTTCAGACTAAACTACCATTAGAGTCAACCCCTGATGATTGGAGAAGCCATATGTAATATCATAGAGAAAGTTTACATTTTTCAGCATGGACTCTGACCAGCAACCCAGCCCGGTGCTCTTGCAAATGTGCCTCTAGTCATAGGAAGCTGCATGTGCTAGATTAGTGCAAAGCACAAAGTTCTCTGAGTAGGTTATTTTAGTTCTGGACCCAATTCTAACGGTGAGGTGGGGGGAGCCCGCCCAACCCCAAGCAATACTCTGACACCAACAGGGTGTCTGAACATCCCTTAGCCATTGGTAACTGATTTAACTCCCAGCCACTCTGCCCTCCTGAGCTGGGTGGTGAGATGCAACTGAAAGTTTCAACCCTCTAGTCACATGGTTGGGTCTCCTGGCAAATGGCACCTCATTAATATACCAAGAGACACTTTAAGGCTCTCATCACTTAGTAAATTCCAAGGGTTTTAGGAGCTTAGTGCCAGAAGTGGGACAAAGACCAAATATTCATTTATTACATATCACAACATCACATAGATCAGTAGGGTCATTCATAGTATTACATTAAATATACTGGCCCTACTTGTGTTTCAGGGCAAGATACTCGTTGGGACAAGGAACGCTGAAATAATTGAAGTTGGAGAGAAAAGCGCAGCCTGTAACGTCTTAGTTAATGGTCACGCAGATGGGCCCATATGGGGACTAGCGACACATCCTTCCAGGGACTTCTTCCTCTCTGCTGCCGAAGATGGGACAGTGAGACTCTGGGATATTGCTGATAAAGTAGGTACAGTTTTTTTTAAAAAGATGTTGTAATTTCTCAGAATTGTGGTGAGAGTTTTGGGAAGAAATTGGTTTACTTTGTAAGTACCCCACTGAGTGTAGTTCTCTTTCCCTCTTTCGGTTCTTATGCAGAAGATGTCAAACAAAGTGAATCTGGGACATGCCGCTCACACTGTGTGTTACAGCCCTGAAGGGGACATGGTGGCTATTGGAATGACAAATGGAGAATTTATTATTTTACTGGTGAGCTCTCTAAAAATATGGGGGAAGAAGAGAGACCGACGATGTGCGATCCACGATCTCAGGTTAGTCAACGAGTAGGGTAGTATTTCCAGTGTCCTCTTGAACGACCCAGTCTGCATTAGGAAAAAGGCCCTTAGTGCCCACAGCGTTTTATCACATCGTAAATTGTATGCTGAAACATGGCTGTTTGTGTAGTTACTTCTTGCTAAATTGTGAGTCCACTGGGCACCAGTACTCGGCAAATGTCTGACGACTGAGTATCACACTGGGCATGGCTGTAAGTTCCTCCTGCCGAGTTATCTTTCCCTGCCCTTCAAAAGTAGTCAGCCTGGAAAACTGAGGTTATAACCCCCAACATCTCTTACTTCTCTTAATCTCACTTGAACATATAGTTCACTCATTTAATACTTACTAAACATCTGCTGTTCCCCAGAATGTGAATTTCAACTTTTCTTGAACCTTGATTTTAACAGTGGCTACACTACCATTTACTGAGCACTTCTGTGACCCAGATAGAAAATAATCCAGGTGTGTCAAAATTTCCCACTCATTTCACCAATAAAACCCTTTTATAAACAAAACTTGCCTCACAACTTCAGTGCATGAAACAGTAACGGTGGCTTCCCTCAGCTCCCCCATGTCCCTGAGGTACCTACGCCAGCAAGACTCATAGTTTTCACAGGATTGATTGTGGAATACTGCTTCCCGTGATCACTAGCCAAACAGTACTTTGTCTTTTAAAATAGCTTCATCCATGCCTCAAGTGATGCCCCTTCATCTAATAACCTGCGTGAGTTAAGCGGGTCTGTGTTCTTCACTGTTAAAACATGAGGTTTCCAAATGAAAGAATCCCAGCTACCTCACTGAATTAGTAACTTGGTAATTAAGTAATTGTTAGTGGTTTTAAAAAAACTGGTTTTAAAGGAATTAGGAGATGAAAGTTCAGAAACAATTTAAAATTGAAGTGAAATATAAAGCCTTTTGTTTCACATAACACAAGTATAACCTCATACACAATCTGTTGTTTCTACTAGGTAAATCTGTTTGAGGCCATTTCACACATACTTATTTCTTAGAGCTAGAAAGAAAAAAGCCACAGGTCTTAAGTAATTGCTTATACTACTTCATGTCACCTAATGCATCTTTTACATATTTTGTTACATTTCAGATTTAGTCCAGATTCCCGGTTTCTGGCAGTGGGTTCTAGTGAGAACTCAGTGGATTTTTATGACCTATCATTGGGCCCTACCCTTAACAGAATCAGCTACTGCAAAGACATTCCCAGCTTCGTCATTCAAATGGACTTCTCTGCAGACAGCAGACACCTCCAGGTGCAGTACCAGTGCTAGATGCCCAGGTTACATTCCATCTACACTTCGTATGTGAATGCCTTGCAGCTCCCGGGTTCCAGGGCGTCCAGATTCTCGCATTTACTGCCCACTCTCCACACTGTTCTATCCTGTTCTTCAGCCCTTTCTTCCGCTCTTTTTGTACAGGAATTTGTAGTCATCTTTTACGTTCTTTTTGCTAGTATACTATAAACTTCTGGACTTTGCCTCACATAATGGAATTCTTGTCCCTGATGAAAGGTCTCCACTGGTTGCTATAAACGGCATGTCTACGAAGTGCCTTCAGGAAGACATCTTACGGATCAGGCTGCCATTGACAGAATTACTTGGGCTACGTGGACCAGGTAAACATCCATATACGCAGAGGGGAAGAACAGACGGGCGGCCAGTTAGGAATGCCCTATTTCTGAATGCTCACTCACGGCCCTGGGGAACAGTAATGGAGTTCCAAGTTTTTGTTACCGTATCTTCACTTCTTCCTAAGGGGAGAATGGCACGCTCACCCTGGGACTGCTTTTTGTTGCCTTATTTCCAGGCTTTATCAGTTTCCGCCATCAGTTCTTTTAAAGAAAGGAAACCATTATGCCTTTAAAGATGCCCTATATTTCCTTTAACATAATAGGTTTAATAAGACAATAAAAATATGTATTGGGTACTGTTAGCATTCCTTTAAGATAAATAACACAATTGCCTATCTTGTGGCTGTTAGAAGCAAAATCTTATAAATTTGTTCACATTTGCTGGCTGTATAACAGGTAACCATGAGTATCCATCTTCTTAACATAAATGAAAACTGCAATCAAATTCCTATAGAATATGCATCATTTTTTATTTTATAAAACCAGCTTTCATATGGTATTAATTTAACTAGCATTATTTAATGTAAAACTCTTAAAAACTATAAAATTTTCTTGAAGAGGGTAACATCCCAGGTGAAACTCAGGACTCCAGATAAACTTACGTTATCACAATTTGCTTCCTGTGTTTTAAAAAACACAATTAGGTACTTAGAGGTTAATTACCAAGAAACTCTTTCTCAGTGTGGTAAACCTGTTTGCTATGGTGGATTTTTGTCATCTCTTCCCTCCAGCATTCTAGGCAGTGAAGTTATGGGAATCTGGTCCAGACATGCTGAGAGAGCTGACGTCACCTGTGCCTGCGTGTCTCACTCAGGAATCAGCCTTGTGACTGGAGATGACTTTGGCATGGTTAAGTTATTCGACTTCCCATGTCCTGAAAAATTTGTAAGTCTTTGGTTTAGCATTTTATATAATTATACTCCCAGTTTAGATGTTTGATCATTAGTACTTTTCCCCACCTAATGGCTAAAATGTGTTCTTGTCTCCTGCTTTGGAGATATTTTGTGTTCCTAAAATTTCCCCCAAACTTCCTAAAACCCCTTACTCTGAAATTATGCCCCAATGTCCTGAAGTAACACTGTCTTTGCAAGCTATTCTAATAAAAAGCTGAGTAGCTTTTTATCAAACCTTTAATCTATTACCGAGTTTCAAATGCTTCCCTTTAGAGGAAAATTTTCAGACCTCTGACTGCCCAGTCAGATGTTTTGTGTTAAGAGCAGATCCTAATCTGAAAAGCACTTAATCCCTGGCTGTGGTCCTAACTGCTTCCTTTCTCCACAGCCCTGGTGATGGGAAATCACGTGTGGTTTCTTACAGCAACCTTTGACTTTTGTGTGCATCACACACCTCGAGCTTTTTTTTTTTTTCTTCAGGCGAAGCACAAAAGGTTCTTGGGTCATTCACCCCATGTGACAAATATTCGATTTACCAGTGGTGATCGGCATGTGATTAGCGCTGGAGGCGATGATTGCAGGTTGGTAACTTGCTTGCCCAAGGAGAGCAGACTGTCTCTGCTGGTTATTAAGAGATTTAATATCATGTCTACAGCTTCAGTTTGTGGACTCTGTTAACTGTCAGCATCACAGAGTAGCAAAAGCAGATGGCTCCTTTGGAGTCCCATACTATGTATAATACAGAGTGAAAGGGGTTAACGAGGAAAAATTTTATTATACACGTGTGGTTTGAAAGCTCAACTGAAAAACTTAAACTGTTCTGGAAATCTAGAAACATAACGAACTCACTGCTGTGTCCCCTCTGGTTGCAGTGTGTTTGTCTGGAAGTGTGTACACATGCCTCACTGAAAGATGGATGCTGAGGAGACTGGATTAACAGCCTTGAGAAACCAGAGCTACAGAGGAGGGAGAAGTCAAGTGGTGCTAATTTCAGATTGTAACGGGGACATATGCCCAGAGTCATCAAATAGAAGATGGATAAGCTCAAAGCATGTATTATATGCACCGGGTAACTGTCCATAGTCCATACACTGCCAGATAATTACTTCTCAAGGAGGGACTAGGTAAATACTTCATAGTGAGAGCCAACCCCTTTGGGGAGTGTGCAGATTTGGCAGACCTGCTGGCGGGGCTTAGGGCACAGCGCGCCTCAGAAAACAAACCAAAAGTTTAAAAACCCAAGTTAGATCATTTTCATCATCTTTTTAGCAAAACTCCTTTTAGAATTTTCACTTTATTTTCAAGGTTCATGGTTTAATGAAGTATGTCCATGTTACCGCAAGGAAAGGAAGCACACCATCACCCTAAAGGATGTTTTTAAAAAGCAAACCTCATTTTCCCCGAGTCACACACAAGCCTCACCCAAGGACATGCTGCTTCTTCAGCACCAATAAAAGCCCTTTTTATAAAGGACCGTTTCCTGCTGGCATTTAGTTCAGGGACAAATCCAAAGTTAGCATAAGACAGCTACGTTTTCACTTTTTGAGCTGTCAATCTTTATGTTCAGATCTCTGTATTTGAAAAGTTAAAATGATTACAGCCTCATTAATGAAAAAGTAGTACGATGAACAATCATTTCCAATTGTGTACAGTTCCGCAAGGTTTTAGATAGCAATAGTATGCAACTGGGGGAGAGGACTGATATTTAAAGATGTAGTCTAATAAACATTTATCATGTAATCTAGAGTTCAATTCACATTTACAAAGGTATACAATTTAGCTAATTCTTGAAATAAAATTTTTATGCCTTTTTTAAAATTATGAAATCTGCTTAGATGTATGCCACCCATAGCCAACTTCCAAAAGGAATGACTCCAAGTTCACTTGTAAAACTTGTCTCTTCCCGTTTGGTGGGTTGGGGCTGAACTCTTAGCTCTTTGTTCCTATTTACTTTAAACGCTGCCAAAGATCAGTACTTGCCATTCAGGAATTTGCTGTCTAGCCTCTCTGTAGTTTCCTGAAGATTGGAAATTATGTAGACTGATATTTTAAAATATATTTTTCTAAGTGTGAAGATTAAGATGCTCTGTTGGTCCTATGAGTTTTTATTTTAATGTGTCATCTTTGTAGCATAATAGGCCCCCTCAGAGTTCTGGAAATCTAAGTTTTCTATGTCCAACACCGTATTAACAGAAACGGCTGAATTGTATCACAGAAAGCTTAACCAGTGTTTGAGCCTGGTCAGTTTGAGAGCTTGGAATAGCTGTGTCTGAAGGACTGATTAAAGGTGTTTAAGCAGCTTGAAACATAACATCATATTCTTTGGTTATTTACATCAATATTGTCCTAAACAAAGGCGGCTTTTAGAATACACTAAACACTACACATCTATTTGTGTGTATTATAAAGGGCGGTCAGTAAGTTAGAGGAGGAAAAATCCCTGAACCACACTCTCCCTCCATTTTTGAGACTGTTGGCAGTCAAGTTTGCAGGCTTTTGGCTAAAGAGAAATTCCATTTCCATTACAGTGCAGGTAGAAAGACGACTCACCTTAAGCAAGGAAACTACATAGGATAAAACTGCTTCCATTGCATCTTTGGTCTTCCAGGTGGCCAACTCGATGAGCCTGCCTTAATCATTGTTGTCAGTTTCATGACTAAAGGTCCTGTTGAATTTAAGGAGTCATCCCACGAGCACCTGCTTTTTTGCATTTACCACCCATCAAACTAAGGGAAGGCGAATAGCCATGATAGGCCATGGAGATGCTGCCCTGTTTATCTTTTTAACCCAGACAATTATGTGTGTGCGCAGTATCTGGCCACGCTCCTCAATTTGGAAACTGAGGCTTCTCCTTGCCCCTTCAGCCCCGTTTCTGTACATAAATGCATGCCAAAGCACTCTGCGCCCCGTGCCACCTGCTGCTTACCGTGAGCCACACCCATTCCCTTCCCTTTTTTGTGATCCTTTTTGAAGACGGTTCGCTTTAGACTGTTATCCAACAAATGTTTGAGTCAACCTTAGCATAAACCATAGCAACTAAAAGATAAATTCTAAAATGTGTTTCCAGGCAATGTCTATTAAATAGCAAGAAACAAACTCAATCTTAGCATGTTATTTCCTTGTAAAATGGCTGCACTAAACCACGTAAGCCCTTGTTTCCCATTTATGTTCTTTATAGTGGAATTACGACACTGCAACAATGTACCATTTATAAATGGTGATACTAAAAGTCTGTTTAAGTTTCTGGAAATACAATTTAAAACAAATTTCTTCTGCGGAGATGTAAAGCATCTCAAGTATTAACAATGTAATGAACAAATGCCTTAAATTTCATGGAGCCCACTTCCTAGAAGTGGAATGGTCGCTTCACCCATCCCTCATGGCGTGACAGCTCTGTGCTCTCCTGTGCTTTGTCTCTCCTCTGATGTTTCAGGTCTTTACTGTGGAATCAGCACAGCAAAGTGCAGCTTACAAAATGGTTAATTCTTCTCCCAATGGAAAAGCAGTGGCCACAAAACAGACTGCTGGTTTCAGGCTCTTAAATGTGGACTTTGACACGTGGTTTCATTCTCTCTCGGGGGTGTGACTGAAGTCACTGAACATTTTTTACAGTTAAATTTAATCTGGTCCTCGGAATGTTTGAGTCTTTATTATCCCTTTTGCATTAATTTGCTTTTTTTCTAACCAACTTTTAGCTTTACTTTTTAAAAAACTGTACATCGAGTCTTTAAAATCAGTGATCCGTTTAATTCTAAAGTATTTGACACTTCTTGCCTTAACAATTTTAAAAACCACACACACAAAACTCAGTAGTCAAAAAGTTTAGTCCTACCTACTTTGCAATTTATCCATCTGATCTCTGTAATTATAGTCATTTAAAATAAACTATTGAAATATAATTTTTACATTTAAAAATTATCTTCAGTAACTATGTTTTCTGTGGAGTTATTTCTGAGAACGTTTTGCACAATGGGAGAATGTGTATGTATAGCTATAATCTTGTGAGTTTAAAGTCTGTTCTGATACTTATGTATATATACTTGTACAAAATTTTGTATAATTTTGTGATAATGTAGTTCCCCAAAATATTTATTTTAAAAGCGTGTTAACAGTAAATGAAAACATTTTAAGGAATTGTGGGGTTTTTTTGCGGTTGCCATTCCAGCTGTTTTCACCCAACATGTCCACCTCACTCATCCTTACCCAGAAGGCGAAGGACCAGCTATTTCGAACCATTTACCAAAGCAGCGCACAACCCGAGAAGCCAAACTAAATCACTTAAAATTAAAAAATAGGATGGACTCTTTTAAACCACCTCTGCATTGTTGGCCACTTGTTTTTAGTGGATTAAGAACGGGATAATCCCTGGAAAAAGTGAAAGTAGCAATCCAACTTCTGGAATAAGGAAACTCCTCTCACAACATTTCTGTGTGTGCGTGCGCGCACACACGCACGCAGAGACGCACACAACAACATGCAGCCCCAAACTGGACGATCAGTGCTGATAGTATCGCCACGTTGTACATGCTGATACTTGAAACAGCAGTGTACAAACACACCAAGGGTTTTAATAGAATTCAGTTTTTCCTTAATCTTTCAGTCAAAACAAGGCAAACAACAGAAACACCCAATGTTAAAACCACTTAATAAACTTACAAACTTGAAAAATTAGATACTTCAGATAGGCGATAAACTTCATATTATGAAAGCAATATATTCCAAGTTTCAAGGATTTGACAAGTTCTACAGAATCTCTTTCATCAGTAGATGGAAACTTTCAAACTTCACGATCTTCTGCCATGTAGGACTGGGTGTTACTCACTGAACAAACAAAACCAAAAAAAATTTTTAATTAACTGCTTTGCATCCCTATATACCACATACCTTAACTAAGAAGTTGAGTGTCTTCATACAATGAATAGTCTACAGATTATGATGCAAATATCAGATTTCAAAAGGTACATAAAAGATGACATGTAAATTTATAGGCCACACTAAAATGTTCTGAAACTTTTTTTTCCCTAATTACTAATGTCTAAGAAAACTGATGTGAGATTTGTAAGCAGTCTAACTCCTGAAGATCTTAGTGTATGTTCAGAATAAGTTATAAAAGAAACCTGATCTGGAGATGATCCAGATAAATAAGCAAGTGCTGGACAAATCAAAACTGACTTATGCAATGTCTTAGTTGCCAAAGGACCCTTGTAAAATTAAACATCAGAAAAAAATCAAAGTGATAATGTGCTTATAAATGTAAAAAATGACATATCAGAAAAGCATGTGAAATGACATTAGGAAAACTAATTTCCACCTTTACCTGGTTTGAGGCCGAATCCACTTCAAGGCGTGCCGTGGAGGCACAGTGATGGTGGGATGGTAAAACGTGCAATCGGGTCGTGTACACTGAGTGTTAAACCTGCAGTGCTAAGAACAAAGAACAGTTTCAACATCTGCAAAGCTAATAGAAATAAAAACAGCAATGTGAGTAATAATGACGAACCCACCCTAACATTAATGGAGCAAGAGATAAGGTCTGTAACATTCATTTTAACACTGAAACCTTGAAAAATGAACACACACCCCCACGCCCAAAATCCTAGTCACACAGTAACGGCTACTCAAATTTCAAGAACCTCGGCACATAACCAACTACTTCTCATCCATGTGGTGACGGCCCCGCACACCCGGCCTCTCGGCCTTCCATCTTCCATCGAGCACCCTCAGCTATGCCCAACTGCCCGTGGGGGGGAGCGAAGGCCTTTTGTTCGGTCTTCAGGCTACTATTTCAGAGAGGAGATCACTACTCTGAGCAACGAAACAGCTGAAGACAACATCAATCTTTAGCACACAGACAACTGAAGGCGCCACTACGAGTCTGGAGGGGCGCGAGCAGTGCTCCTGGGTTTCGTCACCGCAGCTCTGGCACCGAGGTACAAAACCACCCGTGTGCTTCGGGGAGAAGAGCAGAAACTGACTAGCAAAGGCAAGGTTACCCCCGAGAGCTCAGGACAGGGACTTTCAATAGTTTCACACCACTGGGCCTAAGGAGACAAACGGGCTGAGTGACACAGAGAGAGAGCTTTAAAAGACTGTCAAGATAACACTAACAAAAAATGGGCTAATACAGGTGGTGGGGGAGATACTCAGTTTGCTAGTGACCTTCCGGTCTCACAGGTGAAAAGGTATCACATTAAATTCATTTCTGGGAAACTGAAAGTTCTTACTTTTGGATGATAGAAGGGACATTCCATTTTCTTACAAGCAGGGAAGTACCGGCACAGCTGACTACTAGAAGATGGTGTTGCTGTTATAACTGCTGACAAAAATAAGGGCAAATATTGATCAAAATTTTTGGCAAAATAATTTTTAATGCATTCTGATGTTTTTATGGGAACCATTTTAAAATTAAAATACAATGATGAGACAACATATACTCATTAGTTAAGATAAAATACTTAAGAATACTACAGTACGCATATACTTCCTCTTCGAAGACTAGTTACATTAACTGATTTGGTACTTTTTTTTACCCAAATGTAGTAGCGCACAGTCACTAACCTGGTTTTGGAGGCAGTACTGGAATTCTTCTACTCAGATGAGTGAAGGGACAATCTGGCTTCGTACATTTTGCATCATATTTACAATTTGGATGGACAAACAAACATTTTTCAGCAAACTTACAATTGGGGAAAGCTCTATAAAACAAACAAAAAAGCATATTCACATTTAATCTTCTCAATGCATTAGTTTTTTTGTAGAGGGCCTCCTTATATTCCATCACTACTTGTTTTGAGAAACACAGAAGTAACAGGAGAAGGAAACTCCATTTTTAAATAAGGCCATATATCAAAATAGGACATAGCTCTCTATTCCAAAGCCTGAGGCAGTAACAGCTTTTCAACGCCAGCCAAGCCACATGAATGGTAAAAGGGTTTTTTTGTGATGAGAATCACACCACTTAATTATTAAAGTCTATGTTTATATTTTATGAAGTAAACTCTATAGTGAACACAACAGATATACGCAAGGCATTGTGCTACCAAAAATAATACCTACCCCATGATCTCCCTATTTATACTCCATATTATTCTCACATCAAAACTTCCTAAAGTTAAAACATGGAGAGATTCCACCTATAGAAAAAAAAAATCTAAAAGCCATCTCTCAAAGTTCGTTCCACTGAACCAGGCAGCTGGTGAGGGAAAATTATAGTTAAGTCCAAAGCATTTTCTTATTACCCATTACGTTTTCCCAATGCCTTAAACATCTGTGCATGTGTGGACGAACACAATGCATACAAACAGGGACAGTTATATACTCACCTTAAATGTACAGAATCCCGCAGAAAACCCAGAATTCCAGTAGATCATAGGTATGAGGCACAAAGAAGCCACCTTCCATCTCCCTACCCCTCAACAAACACACAGACAAGTAAGCTGTTCGGGGCAGGGCCATGGTAAGTGTCACAGCATTTAGTTACAAACCTCAAACTTGTCCATAAAAAAGCAAAAGCAAAATAAGCGATCAGATAATAGAAGTTAACCTGAAGACCAGAGTCGCTCTGCACTACTCACTTGCACGGTGAAACGGGATGGTGGTAAGCACATTCGTCCCCGTTTTTACAGGCAGGCCAGTACTTGCAGCGTTCCAAAAGTTTTTCTGGCTTCTGTGCCACACTCAATTCACTCATCTCAGCTACAATGGGAGAGGAATTAAAAGTATCCCATTAACTATGATCAGTTCAGTACATGGCACTTTTAATAAATTTCCCTCAAAACCCAGTTTTAAAATCTTATCTCCTACATCCATGGTCATATGAAATAAACTGAGTCCAAGTAATCTGATCAACACTGGCAGAATCCTATCAATGGTCCAGGAAAGTGAACAAGACACTGATGCTGCAGCTAGGGCCAATGTTCTCACAAAAACTCCAATTCTCAGAACTACTTCCGAGCTTATTAAATACCAGAGAGGAAGAATGTCAAGTAGACAGCCAATGAAACGAAACGCAGACTGAAAACCCAAGCTGATAAAGAATGTGAACTAATTCTCATTCAGGCAAGATCCTAAGTGGTCCAAATACAGAGTTCCCACTCACTAAGGTATCGCAGTTTTCTGAGTCCAGGTGATACACACACCAATGTCTACAAATTAAGGAAAAGACTTTTACCTAAAATGGGACATTTACCTACAGTGGCCCAGCAGATCACCTGGCACAGTACACCTGGCTGGGTGTAAAATGACCAGTGGCAGACAGTCTCCACGTGGAAGACACAGAAGTGGGGAAGAGCAAACGAGACCAGTGCACACACCATCCTGGGCTCACTGCCACCCCACTCACCAGGTCCTGTCCAATTACCATGTCAATTACTGTGACTTTGGAAAGTGGGACCCATGTTGCCAGATTATCTCCTGATTAGGCAAGCCAAACACCTTTTTACATGACATCTACATTTTAAATGCTGGCAACTAATTCAAATTTAAAACAGAGTAAACCAAATAGTTTACTTGGTAGCCATCATGAACTGCCAACTCCTGGCCCAACACATCCCAGCCACCCCCCAATAGCATCATGGGTGTCACCTATTACTGTTCGCATTCATGTTTATGAAAACAGGCGCCATTTCAACTACATCCCTCAGGTCCTCTAACCCAAGGTCAGGCTGCTCACATTTGGCTCTGCAACTTACTAGTGGAGGGAGAAAGACACTGGGCAAGTGTTACTAACATCGCTGAACTTCATTTACACAGAGAAAATGATGTCTTCCTTAGTTTAATGATTAAACAGAAACAAGAATGTAAATAGGTAACCAATTAAAACCTAACCATGCAGCAGCTAGTGTTCTGAGCACTTCCTGTTCCAGTGGCCCACCTTCAGTCTTCATTACAGGGTAACAAGGCACAAGCCCAGACCTGAGCCCAGCTGGGAAACCATCAGCGCTATCATGACTGTGCTTGACATATGACTTGCTATGCTACTTTAAAAAATCAGTAACTCATTATTTAGCTCCAGGATAAAAACTATCCTTAGTCTCAAAATCTGGTAGGGCCAGAGGATTTTCTCCAAATTTATATGGTTTCTGTGTCACCCCTGCAGAGAAGATGTGTCTTACCTTCCTCCCAAAGAACATTCTTCAGACTATGGTATCTACGCAACAACCGGGGCCAAATGCGAGACGTGAACGCGATACCAAGAATGAAGCCTGGCTGGGAAGTGGAGTGGAGTGCCTACTCACTCACAAGCAACACTGAAGAAGTTAAATACCAGGAAACTATCTTTCTGATAGAAATGTTAAATCACATATGTAAAGGTCATGATTCTGGTTCTCCCCAACATTTACTTCATAAGCTATTAAAACTTTTCCTGTTTACGTTTTAGGAGGCAATTTCACCTTTTACTGCAAGCTATAACCTCTGTACTGCCACATAATGGCCAGTGGGGGTGGCTTCAAATGGCACTGCTGTTGGTAACATTCTTGAAACACTGGACAAAAAGCCACCCAAAGCAATTACAAAGTTATAAACTCCCTGCTCCGAGGGGCAGAGCAATACAGACCACAGCCTCTCGGTGACTGCTATTCAGGAGTGTCTCCGGCCTCGCTATGTCCTACTACAAAGCTCATCCTTGAGCAGCAGTGTAAAATAGAGTCCCAGACCAAAGTGATGGGAAAGGAGGCTCACCGCTCATCACAGCTGTCTCCATAATGGCCACTGGTATATATGTCATCAGTGACATACATACCAAGGCCTAACACAGACATCTACATTTAATTAAACTAGACCCTAACGTACCAAAAAATTAAGCTACCAAATTGAAAACCAAAGTAGTAAAAACACCAGAATGTTATTTTTTTTAGACAAAATATACAAGGTCAAGAAATGTGCACTGCCTGCCTGACCTGCAGTTACCACCTTTGTTTCCATTTTAAACTTGCTATTTTCAACAGGGTCATTTTCAACTTCCTCCACCAATCAAACCTATCACTGCATTATTGCCTCATTCAATTCAAGATAATAATATCTCTTCACTTACTTATGTCTTCCCCCAAGGGTTATTGTATTTTTAACTACTAAAATGGCATTTAGTACATTTTTATACCTCGGCCAAGAAATTTTATTTTGGAAAAATTTCAAAATCTGATTTTCTTTGATACTGTTTGTTAAGATTCAGTAATTGTCTCCCCTGCCAATGTAGCTGTTTCTAGGAACGTGAGAAGGTCTGAGGAGCATGGTTCTTCTCTATCCTGAGTGAACATGACCAGTAGCTGCACCAGCCACTGGGATCCAGCAAGAAGCCATACTGAGAAAGGCTCATCTGCCTGAAAGCATGTCACTACCTGAATTGAGTTATCTGAATTCTAAATACTGTGTTTAAATATTAATTTAAACCTAAGGTCTTTTCTGTCCAAGAACTATTTTGATGGATAGGTGAAAAGCACCACTCAAGGGAATTTCACTGGAGAAATAGCATCAAAATTCAAACTCATTTTTCTATCAAATTACAAAGGAGACTATTGCTGGTACAAGGCGAAAGTAACAAGTATAGTTTCTTTTTTAGAAAAAGGTAAACAAACTGAAAATGATGGTTCATCTTTTACCATGTATAATGAGAGGTATTTTTTGGCTTTCGTGGCTTAATACGATTTCAACACTGGGATAACAGCCAACCTACAACAGGATAAACTGGTGGTTTTGTCTGAAAAAAGGCCACTACTGAAGAATAAATAAAAGCAAGGCCTCCAACCAGTCTTCATTCAAGGTAGAGAAATATGTCAAAGATTTCCTTCTCAACACCAGCACCCTGAGAGGGAAAGGCTGTGCTCTCAACACACCGTGTGAAAAGCTACCATTTGGGTCATCAAGCTGCCTGCTCATCAACTGCAACTGCTGTGGGTGGAGGAGACCTCTGAGTCCCTGGTTTGAGGCTGCAGTTTGGTTTACAGGTTTCATTCCTTCAAAGCACATGTCCTCCTCTTGATCTGACATGTATCCTGGGGGGCTGGGAACACCATCCAGCGTCACTATAAACTTGGGACTTGCAGGTTTATCTGGTTGTACAAGATCTCTGCCAGATAGATAGAAAACACCATAGAATTAGGGAAATGAACACATAAAGCTGAGCCTCCTAACGTGCTCTTCAGCAGAACTATCACTCCCTTACTTGCTCGGTGGTTTCTTCAGTAAAAAAAGACTTCCTAGGACTTGCGGGTACAGCATTAGTGGATTTCTACTACCACACAATGGCTGCGGCCCTTTGCTGTGAAATCACCACCAGTGCCTTCTGGGCTGCACTAAAGACAATCTCTCCTCAACCCTAACCCCCACCATCCATTTGATCCTCAGAGGGTCACATGGAAATAAACTGAAAAGTCAGCATCCATGCCCAGAACACAACAGCCAGCCGTCTACATTTACACTAATTTCATTATCTGTATGTTTGTTAGAACATTTAGTAATCATCCCACCCAACTGGCTCACTCTCTCTGGAGGGATTTCCTGATTTTGATCACATTGCCTTTAAAATCTCATTTCCTGGATGCACATAAAGAATCTTAGCTAAATCTTACGCTGACTTACTTGGTAGGATAATGGATTTCTCAACAAGAAAGATGAACTGGAATTTTTGAAAACTGATTTTGGCTTACTGTATACATGGCCTAACTACTGAATCAATAAAAGCACTCTACACTGAGGGATAGGATGGGGAGGAGGGAATTAGGAACTAACAGTTATCCTGCACTGCCTATCTAGTGAACACAAATTAGCTACACAAAAAAAAGAAACCATCTACCGTGTCTGCATAAGGTGTCCTGAAAGTACCCGAAGGGTATCTGCAGTCTTCATCCCCGATTCTTGGTTTGATGCCACTACTATTTCCTCAGACAGCTTTGGCTTCTTCAGAATAAATGATCTCGTGTCTGCATAGACCAGGGATTCCATGTCATAGTAATCTGAGCCAAAAAAATTGGCCACAAATGTTTACTTTTGAATATACCTTCATTCCCAACATCACACACGTGAGAAGAATGTCAATATTTTATATATTTGTAATAGTTTTCAAAGGAAAATCACAATGGCTCTACTCAAGGATAGAGCTGCAATTCTGTGCGAAACATCTTTTCAAAGCATTCTTTCCCTCTTCCGGCATATAACCAAGGATTCTAGACACTACTTGCCTACAGTGTAGAAAGAGTCTTACATGAGACATCTAATGGGGCATTATTAACAATATAAACTTACTTTAAGTACATTTTCTAAAAACATGAATAAGCAGTCCTAATGTTCTGTAGAATTATGATACAAAGACTGTTTAAAAAGCTTTCCAAAATGTTTTGTTCATTTTGCACAGTATCACTTAGAGAAATGAACACATCCTGATGCTAAGAATTCAACTATCATAATTTCCGCCTGGTTGTAAAGACTACTTTGAGAATTTTAAGATGAATAGGCATTTAAAAAAATATAGCAAAGAACACACTGACCTTCAGTGCAAATAAGCTCAACTCATCACCTGCAACATGCTTCTTAGGCCCAATTACTTTATAAAATACACCAAGCCCCAGAGCCCACATGGAGATGGCTGACCTACCAATATGCAGTCAACTGACTCAAGTTAATGAGTTCCACTTCTCTTAAACTTAACAGGCAAACCACAGGGACCAAAATTCAGACTATTCGTTCATGTTCATTCACTGAAAAAAACTGACCTCCTGAGAGCACTGTACTAGGTACACAAAGAAAAAACAGGGAAATAGAGGCATACACAATTTCAGAACAGTATGCCCGAGAGGTGACCTGAAAGGGGTATAAGCAGGCATTGGGAGAATACAGAACCTACTCCGGCTGGGGGGAGAGGCAGGCTTACAGAGGAGGAATGAGTGAAACGGGTATTAAGGAACAAGCTGGAATCCACTAGGAGGGAGAGTTGGAGAACAGAGCACTTCAGAGGAAACACATGGAGAAAGGCAGGGGCTTTCCTGAAGCAGAGGAATTGGAGGCAGCGGGAAATGTGGTGTGGCTGGGGGGCTGGCTGTGTGTGGCAGGCTGAGCAGGTGAGTGACAGGGCAGGCTGAGGCATAAAGGATCTTCTGTCGCCCAGCCGGGTGTGGCTCAGCGGTTGAGCGTCAACCTAGGATCCAGGCGATTGGGGTTCAATTCCCGATCAGGGCACACGCCCGGGTTGTGGGCTCGATACCCAATCGGGGGAGTGCAGGGGGCAGCTGATCAATGACTCTCTCATCATTGATTTTTCTCTCTCTCTCCCTCTCCTTTCCTCTATCTGAAATCAATAAAGGGATCTTCTGTCAATGAGTTTGGATCCTGGTCCAGAGATAAGTAACCAAGAAAAGTTTCTAAGTAGTGAGGTAACATGTTTAAACTGGTTTTCAGAAAAAGGGACAGTGATAAGATGGACTGGAATCCTAGACCTGTTATGAAGCTGTTGCCCAGGAGAGAAGGGGAGGCTCCGAGTTAAAAGGTTCTCACCCCTTTTCCTAGTCTAAACACACTCCCATCAGCACTAGCACCACACAGCAGGTGGATTTTCAACTACCATCCCAAGGAGGAGGCATGCCTGTCATCCCTGCAAGTGCAGCAGAGACTGGCAAAAGCAGATGTATGAGTGAGAGCAGAAGGAAAAGGAACTTTGCGCAGAAATAGAGGATGGGAGAAAAAGCCGATTTAAAAGGGGGCAAAAACACAATGGCCAAGACATGGAAACCACCTTAGTGTCCTTCAATAGATGACTGGATAACGATGATGAGATATACACACTAGACTACTACTCAGCCATAAGAAAAGATAAAATACTGCCATTTGCAACATGAGTGGATCCTGAGTATCATGCTAAGGGACATAAGTCAGATGGAAAAAGTAACCACCATATGATTTCACAGGATATAATGCTGAAACCAAAAAACAAGCAAGCAAGACAGGCAAAACTCATAAACACAAACAGTACAGTGGTTACCAGAGGGAAAGGGGGCTGGGGGAGATAGAAAAGGGGAAAGGGGGGATAAATGGTGATCGAAGGAGAGACCTGACTTAGGGTGGTGGGCACACAATGCAATATACAGGTAATGTACGACAGAACTATACACTGGAAACCTACTAAGGGTGGGGCAAAGGGAGGTTAACAGTTGTTCATATGGAAAATACAATAAATAATAGTACAAGAATAAACTCTGTTTCACATACTCAACAGTAGACCTACTTTTGCTTCCATCCCGAATAACTTTATTAACCAATGCTGCCTCAATAAATGTAATAAAGTAAAAAATAAAAGGGGAAAAGATAAACCTCAATTTAGGTTTATTTAGTTTAAAGTGTTGGGCTCTCACAAGTTTAGAAAGAAGTTGAAAATTCAGATTTGACCAATGGGGGTGGAGGGCAGGGAAATAAATGAGAAGCAGAGTCGAAACTGAAGGTGAAATAAGAATGTTTAATAAACTGTACACATTCAGCGCTGCCGTCTTCTCAGTGATCTGCACGTCACAGAGACCACAGATGATTTCGAGGCCTCACGCCGGCAAAGGCAGAGTCCGGAAATTAGGCCGAGGGCGGCTGTGTTCCTTCTCACCGCCCCTCACTTTTCTGAGGCAAAGCAGTCTACTATTTGCATCTTGGGAGAATACAGGATGAAAACAATGCTGAGGGCAGGGCACATTCTAAGGGGCAGTAGAGGAGGAAAGGAGTTGATAAAAGAGAATAAAAAGAAACGACAAGAACAGATAGTAAAGTCCTAGGAACCAATGGATCAGAGATAGAAGAGAACAGAATTCACGTGTCACAAACTAGTTTAGAAAAGTGTACACTGAAAAAGGAGCTCCGCAGCCACACAGCCACCCGCCACTCGTACAAGATTAACGTGAGCAGCACAGGTGGAGTAAAACCAGACAGATGAAAGAGCGGCATCTGGGTAATGAACACAGGCTGACCCCAGGCATACTGTTTCCTCCTGAAACCCCACTAAAATATCAATAAAGGGTTAACTTAAAAATAAAAAAACTCACAAAGACAATGATAGTGAAAGGAGATACAACTACATTTTGGAGTGAAAGACTCATTAGATCTTCAAAAGCTGAGTCTGGCCCACTGGATGTGACTCAGTAGTTGAGCATCAACCCAGAAACCAAGAGGTCACCAGTTTGACTCCTGGTCAGAGCACATGCTTGCAGTTTTAGGCTCAATCCCCAGTAGGTGGCGTGCAGGAGGCAGCTGATCAATGATGTTTTCCTCTCTCATCAATGTTTCTCTCTCTCTATCCCTCTCCCTTCCTCTCTCTCTCTGAAAATCAATAAAGACATAAGAAAAAAAAAAAAAGCTGAGTCTGAAGCCGATAATGAAGCCATCCAGCATGGATCCCAAGACTCTCCAATGGCTGAGAAATAGGCTTCATGAGACCTTGGGCCTTCCGGGGGGAGGACAGGGCAAAACAGACTTGTATTCTAGTGTCTATTTCAAACGCAGTTAGTTCTTCCTAAATTTTCTTTGGTTTCTAATCCTTATGGCACCTATTCCCCTACCTCTATGCTGAAGATACCTGAAATAATTGGAAATCCACTTTCTCACTGATCACCGTGGGAGACGCCTATGGATGAAGCACCGTAGTCTCTGACAGAAAGGTGCTACAACAACATGAACTAAATGCATACTATTAAAATGGTTAAAAGCAGTTAGAATTCCTGATAACCTCTGACCATTTTCTCACTTGTAGAAAGTAAAGCTTTAGCTTCATGAAAGCTAAAAACTGAGGGTCTCTGTACCAACGGATGCCAGCCACGTTGAAGAAAGCACCACTTTGAAACCAGGGAGGGGGCCGTTAAAGTAAACGTTACGTAATTAATACTGAGGTGCCTTCCCTAGTCCCCTTTACCACTTAAGCTCCCAGACAATCTGTTATTTAAAGGTCTTTCTTTGGAGAAGCTGCCTAGCCTAACAGGAAAGGTCTAAAGCCCCTGACATAAGGGTGCCCCAAACTAGATAGCAAGACAAATCACTCTCCACTGCAGTTCAAACGTGAGGTCCAAAGCCCCACCCCAGCTAATGAACCCAGAACGCAAACAGCTTTTTAAGTGCCTCACTCTTAAACATAAGACAACCAAGGGTCTGTAGACATCTGAGGAAAACCTTTCACAAAAGATAGTGATCAAAACAAACAACTTGGAGAAAATAAGACCAAAAAAAGACTAAAACTACCTTTAACATCCTCAGAGAAATAAGAGGAAGTATTGCATACATGAAACAAAACCAGTATGTTAAAAAAACAAAAGGGGTGGGGGAGATACAAAAATTATAGGGCCCTGACTGGTGCAGCTCAGTTGGTTGGAGCATCGTCCCATTCACTGGAAGGTCACAGGGTCAATTCCCAGTCAGGGCATATATGTAGGTTTGGTTCCATCCCTGGCCGGGGTTTGTATGGGAGGCAACCCATCAGTGTCTCTCTCACATCAATGTTTCTCTCTCTCTTTCCCTCCCCCCCTTCCTCCCTCTTTAAAATCAATTTTTTAAAAATTATAGAAGGTAAGCAAAGGATACAGTCATTCATAAGCCTCCTAGAACTACCTGATGATTTTTATCCTGATGGGCACCATGGATAAAAATAAAAACTAAAGGAAAGAAAAAGAATGTGTGAGGGTCAATTAAACGGATAAAACACACACAGACTTTAACTGCCAAAACATTTGAAAGAAAATGCCCTTATGTAGAAAAAGCAGGATGGAATGTTGGGAGATGAGAGGGCAAAATCAAGAATGGAGAATTTCTAAACCCTTTCGTAGGTAGAAGGGAGAAGCCAGATGATTGGCAGAGACTGAAGCTGCGTAAATGTGGCAATAAGACTGCTCATCACCTGGGCAGGAGCTGGCATCTGGATGGAAGGTAACCCTGAGAAGACAAGCACATCTTTCTGAGACAAAAGGCCATGGAAGGGTGGGAATACAGGTGGTAACTGTGGAGACCTGACCACGGGGAAGAAAATTCAGTTAGAAGCCAAGAAGCAGGGGTCAAGGGACAAACCTTCCAAAGAAAGGCAGGCTTGGAAGCAACAGAAGGAAGTGGAGAAAATAAGGCTTCTGAATTTAAGACTGCAGGTGTCCAATGGCTCCCATCATTTATTCAGCACACATTTATTAGGGATTACGCATGCATCTGGCAAGGGCACTGGGAACAGAGATAAATAAGGCACTAGCTCCAGTCCTGGTGTGTGTATCTGTGTGTAATGGGTGGGAGAGAAACAACTAAGTTCCAGTAGCTCTAAGGACCACAAGTCCAAGGTGTGTCCCTGGCAATGAGATTCTAAAGTGAAGTAAAACTGAGGACCAGGTTCAACAGACCAGGGAAACTACGGCACCTCAGGGAAATGGCAAAAGCTGGGCAGAGAGGAGAGTCAGAGTAGGGACTCAAGTCATTCCCAGAGCAGGGTAGTGAGCAGCCAACAAATCCCAGGGTCCCAGGTGAAATGGCAACAATGGAAGAAAGTTTTTGAATGAGGTGAAAATACAAACACCACGTAACACAAAGAAAATGCATATCTTGTCTCCTGCCACTAAAATATTTTCACAGATCTAAATATAGCATCTTAGGGCAGGATCTAAGAGATACAAGGAACATTAAATGAAGTGTAAGGAATGGAAATAGCAACTGAAAAATGCCTGATTACACTAAAAATTTCAGATGATCACCCACCTGGACTGATCTGCAGAGTTTCTGCCATGACTGGATCAATCTGTAGCCGGGACAACAACTGCCTCTGTTGAGTTCCTAGAACATAAATTTTAAAACTTAACTAAGGTTAAAATACAATACTAGGGTGTGTATGTCCCAGAAATGAAGTCCCAAATAATCTTTCTGGGTTCTTAAAAATAAAAGTTTAAATAATACAATTTAATAATATTTGTAGGCCAAAGGTCTGTAAGACAAAAATCTACTCGGGGTTAAACCCAAAACAGCAACGTACAATATTCCTGGTTCTCCCTCTGGAGGCTGGTTTTCCTGGATTCGAGATAAAGGTGAAGGGGTGGAAAAGCCTAGGGGAGGTGCTGCATGGACCCACAGCTTGCACCTTGGGAGACAGACGACTGCCAACTGCAAGATCAACATAAGCAGCATCTCCATCACCTGGGCTCTCACCATTATGACGCGCTCGACCCACCCCTGGAATCACAAAACAAAACACTCCAGAGTTATCTGGATAGAGTTCCCAAAAGACTGACTACGGGCTTAGATGGATACAAAGAGAACACTGTACAATACAACTCTCAGCTCTGTAGTCCAGGTCCTACCGAAGCGTGAAAATAACCACTTGCATTTCCCAGAGGAAGATGCTCAGCTAGAAACAGGCTCATAATTTCTTTATAGTTACACTGCAAAACAAAACACAGCACTGACACAGAAATGATTTCTCTCTTCAACCGGAGGGTAAGCACTCTGAGGGACGAGATGCTGTCACACTTCTCCAAGACTCCCTGCCCACTGCCTCGCATGCAGTATAGGTACTCACTTGCAGACTCGAAACAAAAGCATCACAGTACAGTGTACAATGGGACATGGCTGATAAGGTTCCACACATTGAAATATGAGATGCCTGCATGCTAACTTTTAGTATATCTACTACTGCTGGTTTCACTCGAACTTTCTCACTCAGCACAAACACACAATTGCCAACTACCGTATTTCATTAAAAGGGGTTTTTAAATTTAAAAGCTACACGCAATTCAAAATTTTATCAGCTATTTTCTTTTCAAATGTAAACTACATTACATTACTCTTTAGCGGTGTGCCAAAATAAAAGTTAATTCCTTCCAAAATTATCATGGTAAAAACACAGTAAATCCCAAGGAGCTGATCTGAAAATGAAAGACGAATGTCATTTGGCCAAGTTAGCATTCCTGTGAAACAGCCTGAGAAACTGACACAAACTAAGTTACAGGAAAAATGTTCTAATTCAAATACAACAGGTCCCTTTAGCATAAACAGTGAACAATGAAATAATTACACATTTTAAAATAATTTCCCAAGACAAATATAAGGGACTGTTTTCTCCCATTTCAAATTTTGCCACATCTCTCTATGCTCATCTTTTCAACAAATCATTTTAGAAAAAATGCACGAAAGACGGTGGACTTCTGATGAGTTCTAGACTTCTAAGTCAAATCACGTAGGGTCCAACTTTGTCATTAAAGGTCCACGAAAACTTCAAGCCCTTGGTGACTTGCTGCCTTTGTATGACAACTAGTCAAGCTACAGGAAAAGATACAGCACCATGGATGAGTACCTAGAAGATACCACATGCTAAGAATTTACCTTTCTCAATGTTGCTAAGGAAGCCAATTATTTTTACATCAGTAGTCCTTGACTGTGATTCAAAATCTACCTCCTCTTGAAGATCTGTGAACTCTCTGTCACATTCAGTTGTTGATGTTGAATATTCATTCATTTTAACCTCCAAAGATGAAATTTTTGCTTCATTCTGTGACACTCTAACATTTAGATCAAAAAGATTTGCTTCCACTGTCAGCATTGCTGTTTTCATTTCCTTAATTTCATTGATATCAGTTGATATTTTCCTTAAAAAATGGGAAATATTGTCTAGCTCATTCAGTGAACAAGAGGAACTTGTCACAGAACCTACGTCAACTGGCTCAGGTGAGAAGAAATTCAGTAAAGATGGTGATGAAAACCTTGAAGACATTTTCGTAAAATTCTCTCTCTCTCCTATTTTTAAAAAATTTTCCTTCACAGCCCATTAAATTGTTTCATCAAAAGTAAAAGTACTTATTAAGGCTTTTAAGAAGTATTAAGAGTGCATAACAGTATTAAACCTGTAACTAAAAAGAGAGGGTTGTATATTTCTGGAGTCAAAACTCAAAAGTAAAGTCCTACGTAAAGCTCCTCTCCAAACAATAAGCCCTATTATTACATACAAGAGAATTCTGGCTTCTGATTGGCTGAAAACAGACATGTAATGCACAAAGAATTTTCTATTCTTTACCTCATGACAACGAGCACTGAAGATCCGGGGCCTAAATTAAGCAACGTAACAACATTAAGTACTTTATACCAGAATATGATGTGAATTAAGTACACTTTTGTCTTGTCATCTATTAAATAGTTTTTAAGCTTCAGATTATTTACATTGTTGTTGTTGTTTTACCCTCATTGGAGGATTTTTTTCCCATTGATTTAGAGTGGAGGGGGCGGGGGGGACAAGCACTGATGTGAGAGAGACACATCGACTGGTTGCCTCCCGTCCCACCCCGACTGGGGCCAGGGATGGAACCTGCAACCAAGGTATGTGCCCTTGACCAGAAATCGAATCCACAACCCTTGGGTGTGCAGGCCAATGCTCTAACCATTGAGCAAAAGCTTTTGACAAGGTTTTACCTAGTATTTTCTGTTGCTTTTCCCATTAAAGATGGTATAGTCCAGTATCTGGCATTTCCTTTGTAGGCAAAGGGCAGAGAAGGTAATCAGACCCATGATCACAGACAAATCTCTCTACAAATATCTGGTAATAATGGAATTCAACTGCACTAATATGATATGGTAGAAATTTAAAGACGGAAAATGAGGACTTGGCCTTGGTTTGATATTATTAGATATGTGATTTTCACCCATTTTGTGGGCTTTTTTTTTTTTCATTTTCTTGACAGTATTCTTTGAAACACAAAAATCTTTAACCTGGATCAAGTACAGTTGATCTATTGTTTCTTTGGTTGTCTTTTAGTGCCATATCTAAAAAACCATTGCCTGCCTAAGCCAAGCTCATTTAGAGTTATACCTGTCTTTTTCTCCTAAGAGTTCTATAATTTTAGCTTACATTTAGGTCTTTGATCTATTTTGAGTTAATATTTATATATGTAGTAAGGCAAGGGTCCAAATTCATTCTTTTGCATGTGGATATCCAGCTGTCCAACACCATTTGTTGAAAAGACCATTCTTTCCCCCACAGAACTGTTTTAGTATACCTGTTGAAAATCAATTGATCATAAATGTACTGGTTCATTTCTGGATCTCAATTTTATTCCATTGGTCTATATTGTACCTTTATGCCAGTACTAGTTTTGATTACTGTAGATCTATATCAAGTTTTGAAACTGGGACATATTAAGTTCCTCAACTTGATTATTTTTCAATAGTTTTGGCTATTCTAGGTCCTTTTCATTTCCATATCAATTTTAGGAACAGTTTGCCAATTTCTGCAAAAAAGCCAACAGGGATTTTAACAGACTGAATTAAATTCACAGGTCAATTTGGGAGTATCACCAATATAAAATATGAAGATGCAAGATGGTGGACATGGCTCCCCAGAGCCTCTCCAAAAGAATAATTCTTATAAAAAATTGCAGCCTTTGGTTTCTCATTTAAATAGACGTTCACAAGAACAGAATAAAGAGAAAGTGCTTAAGTTTATGTAATAGGAACCTTTATCCACTCCTTTACTGTATCTGTAAATTAACCTAATTCTTCAAAATCTTTGGATAGAAAATAATTTTCAAAATTTACAAGGCTTTGGATGCACACAGAATTTTTTAAGAGTACTAGCTGATGGATGACACCTATAGCAAACATAGGAAGAGCCAAGTGCCACCTGCAAGCTAGCTGGTTCACTGGAGGGTAGGCAAACATACTTCAATGAGAAAAGCAAGAAAGCAGAGGATGAGTCACAGAGAAACAAGGTGCCCAAAAAGAGCCCATTTGAAGGCGCTTGTTAGCATCCATTGTGTCCAGACCAACTTTAGAATGCAAAGTAAGAAAAGATCCTTCCATGACTCCATTGTAAATACCCATCAGCAGAGGCAATTAACACATTTTAAGGAAACTGGAGCACAGAAAGGTTAATGTCAGCTAGTAAGTGGCAGAGCCGGGATTAACACCTAAGCAGTCAGGCTCCCTGAATCCATATAGTCATAATTACTATTTTGTTATACTTCTCTCCATGATACATTAAGTGTAATAAAACAGATCAGAGAAATTCATGTGGTGTAATTCTTATTGTACATACACATGTGCAAGCTTGTGTGTGTACACACACACACACACACACACACACATATAATTCTACTTTATACAGAAAGGTGCACATTTCCATACATTAAAAAAAAAAAAGCCAGAAAACTACAGATAATACACCAAACTGTTTTAGGTGCAGTGCTTACCTCTGAGGAAGACAGTGGGCAAAACGAAGGGGAGATTTCCCGTTTTCTCTGAATATAAAAGCTTCTCTTTACTAAGACTCTTTCATGGTGCTTCCAGTTCATGCAATATATCAAGTATATGCAATTACAGCCTCTCCTTCTGGAGAGTCCATAAAAATGAAGTAAAGCCCGGCCGGTGTGGCTTAGCGGTTGAACATCAACCTATGATCCAGAGGATCACAGTTTGATTCCCAGTCAGGGCACATGCCCACAATCCCTAGCAGGAGGCATGCAGGGGGCAGCCAATCAATGACTCTCATCACTGATGTTTCTCTGTCTCTCTCCCTCTCCCTTCCTCTCTCTGAAACTGATAAAGACTTTTTTTTTAAAAAAAATGAAGAAAAAAACGTAAAAAGGGCACAAATCTTTAACACAGAGCAGTGGATTCCAAACTGGGTTTCTAAGATTATCCACTAAAATGCAGGAAGAAAGTATCAAAAATTCTACCATAGTAAAAATATTTATTACCTCCATTGTCCTCAGAGCTCTATTTCTGCCTGTTCTATCATACAACTAATAACAGTAGGCATGTATGTAAGCAACATACATATATTGAATGTATGA